AGGGAAATTAATAAGTATATTTATAATAATAGATCTTATTTTATTATATAATTTTTATTATTAAACTCTTTTAGTTAAAGCTATATATTTTAATATTAATTAGCTAGTTTTTATTACTTTTTAAAAATATTATCTAATTTGAATTTTCTTTTTATATTAAAATAAATTAAAATACTTTTAAAACTATAATCTATAAATAGAATATTATTTTTTAAAACTATTTAATTATAAAAAGCAATTAGAAAACCTCTATTTATTATTTATTATAAACTTGAAATATAATTTTATTATAATAAATATATATTATATCTTTTAAAAAACTAAGAATTAATATAATTTTAGTAATAAATATAACTATAAAAAATATCTTAACTTTTTCTTTTTTAATAAAATTATTTATATATATTAAATAATTAATAGATTTAGTTTCTTTTTCTATTTCTATTTCTGGATTTATATTTATTTCTTTTTCTAATATCTTATAAATCTTTCTATAATCTAATATTATATAATATAACTAGTATTAACTTAAAAATATATCTTCTAATATATTTTTATAAAAGTTTTTAGTATATATAGAAATATAATATAATTAAATTTAAAGTTAGAAAAATAATAAAATAATAAAATAAAAAGAATTTATAAATTAATAATATTATATAAAAATCTCAAATTTTATTTAAAAGTAATATTAATATAAACTAAAATCGGAGTCTTATTTTATAGATCTAAACCGTTTTTAAAAATAATCTATTTTGGGAAATAAATTAGTTTATATTTAATAGAAAAGTAATAGAAAACCTTAAAGAAATTCTTTTAGATAATTATTATAAAATCTAAATACCTAACTATTTTAATATTATAGAATTATATTAATTTCTATAATATTATTTATATTATACTATTTATAATATAAAAAAAAAAAAGAGTTTCTAGATATTTAAATTTATTTTAATTGGTTTTTTATAAGAATATATTAATAATAAATTAAATACATTTTATTTTATTATAATTTAACTATTATAAATAATAATGAGAATAAAATAAACTAAAATGCTTTAATTTAATTAAATATATTATATTATATTTAAAATACTTTAATAGTATTAATTATAAAATTAGAGAATTATTATTATAAAAAGTTATTTTACTAATAATATAACTAGAATAAGATTTTTAAATTTAATAATAAAATTTCTTTATATTTCAAATATTATATTATAACTTATTTATTTATTTTATAAGCTATAATTTTTGCTATTACAAATATTTAATTACTAATTAATAATAGATATTTATTATTTATATTTTTTATTAAATTACTAGAAGCTATAAAATCTTTTATATTTATATTTATTAAATATATCTTTATATAATCTTCTTTTTTCTTTAAACTATTACAGGATTTTTTAATTACTAATTTATTATTTCTAAAAAGTTTCTTAATAAATTCTATTAGATTATAGAATTATTATAATCTTTTTAGAAAATATATTTTTCTAGAAATTTCAGATAATTCAAGTTATTAACTAATATATATATTACTTTTATTTATAAATTACTTTATTTCTAGTTTAAATATTTTCTTATATTTTCTTATCTAAATTTATAGATTTATTCTTTTTATTTAAAAACTTGCTTTTTTAAGAATATTTATTAGTTTTATAAAAAAAAAAGTAAAGATAAATCTAATTAAAATACTTTAAAAGCTATTTATATAGTACTATTTCAAGTTATTTATATAAGCTTATATAAATAATTTATAATTACTATTTTATTAATATATATTATAAAACTAAATTAAATAATTTTAAGATAATATTATTTTTAAATATTATATATTTTAAATAATTAAATATTTAATTCTTTTATAATATATAAATATAAAAACTTGAAATATTTATTATTAAATATAGACTAGTATTTTATATTTACTAAATATATAAAGCTAGAATAATACATTTCTATATATATAAGACTCTATTATAAATAAATATTCTTATAAATAGTCTAAAACTAGATAATTTTTTATATAGCTATATAATTAGAAATAAATAAATAGCTAATTTCGTTTTAATTAATATAGATATTCTAGAATTATTAGAAATATATATTAGAATTAAATTAATTTTATAAATATTAAAATTAAAGATTTATTTACTAATATAAAGAGCCTTATCTAAATTTTAAAATTAATAAAAGATATATTTAAATAAAAATAAATCCGAACTTTAATATAAACTATTAGTTATATTAGTAATTATTAAAATAATCTTTTAATTTTAATTTGAAAGAAATAAAATATAATTTTCTAATTTCAAGAAACTTTTAAATAAATTAATAAGAATATAGGAATTTTTAATAAAATATAAAAATATTTTAGATTAAAAAATATATTAAAAGAAATTAAATTTTTTTACTAATAGATTTAATTCTATTAGAATATCTTATAACTTTTATTATAAATAATACTATTATAAGTTATTTAGATTTCTACTTTTCTATATATTTTTATTTAAATATAATTAGATAAAATCAAATTACTTTTAAATAATTAATATATAAAATTCTATTTAATTTAAAAGAAATAAATTAAATAATCTAATATATAACTTATAATATTAATAATTATATAAGTATTCTATAAAATATAACTATATTTAAATAAATTAATATTTAATTTTATATATTATATAATTTATAAAACTATATTTAATTAACTATTAGTATTATATATTTTATATTAATAAATTTAGAAATAGAATAGTCTAATTACTTTTTTATTTCTAATAATTTAGAATTAGATAGTTTATTTTTATTTAAGCTTAAAGAAATAATATTTAAATAGATATTATTTAATATTATTTATAAGTTTAAACCAGAAACTATTATAAAATTATTATTAAAGTATTATAATTTCGTTTTAATTTTTCTATTATTTATAAAAGAAAGCCTAGAATTCAATTCTAATAATAAATTAAAAAAGGAAATACTTTAAATACTTATAAAAAGAAATAAAAAGAAATTTTAAATAAAAGAATTTAAAGATACTAAATGGCTTCTATATAATTATTTTAATAGAATTTTATTAAATATATTAATAATATTCCTATATTATATTTCGAGACTAAAATTAGATATTATTAATCTTTTTTTTAGATATTTATTAGATTTAAAAGAAATGAAATAAAGTATAATATTTATTACTAGAGAAAATTACTAATAAATTATAAAATAAAACTAATAGTAATAGCTATATTTTAATAAATATACTTATATTAATTAATGTTTTTATTTAAAAAGCCTTTTATATAGAAATATATTTTTATAAAGGTTATATATTTAAAAGTTATAAGAAGATAAATTTAGATAAATTACTAGATATAGAAAGCTTTCTAAAAATACTAATATATATTTATTATATAAATAGTAATTATAAAAAGAAAAATATTTATATAATAATTCTTTCTAACTTTAAATAACTAAATTAATTAATTTTAGATATAATAATTATTATTTAATTAAATACTTTATATCCGGAATTATTATTTTAAATAATAAAGCTATATAATCTATTATAAATATATAAATAAAAACGAAATATTTTAGAAATAAAATAACTATTTCTAATAAAAACTTTAAAAATAATAGAAACATATATACTTTTAATAGAATCTCTTATTATATTTAAAGCTAGTAATATAAATATATATTAGTTATTAATAGATTTTAGTAAATCTAGTTTTATTAATATATTTACTATTATAAAAAAGAAATATAGTTTTATAAATAATAAAAGCTAGACTAATTATAATTTTATAATAATTATTTTAAATATTTAATAAATTATATTAAATATATTAAATTCTACTAAAGCTTATAGAAAGCTAGTAATTATTAGTAATACTAGTTATAGAAAAACTACTCTTTTTATATAAATAGTTTTATATTAATACTGGTTTTTATTTTAAACTAATTTTAATAAAACTATTTCTATTAGAGTTTTTTAGTTAAAAATATAAAACTTAGTTTATTTCTGAATTCTAATATTTTCTTTATTAAATAGATTAGGAAATTTTAGAATTAGACTATTATAAAAACTATATTAAATATATTAGAATTAAAATTAAAGGAAAACTTATTTAGTTTAAGCTATAGAATACTAGAAGCTATTTAATTAATAATAAACTATAATTATAAATATATTTAGACTTATATATAATTCTAATATATTTTATTAAAAATAGTTATAACTTTTTTATAATATATAAAATAAAATATTATTATTATATTTATATTATCTAAACTATACTAATTTATAATAGTAAATTATTAAAATAATAAAGCTATTATATAAATTAGTAAAGCCAAATAAAAATAAATAACTTATAAAAAGATATTTATATTTTATATTATATTATAAGATAATAAGTCTATTAATTATAGAATAAAGTAAAAAAGTTAAAAGATAAATAGAAGTATAATATATATATCTAGAATATTATATTAAAACTAATAAAGGAATTTATAAAATATTCGAATATATTATTTAAGTTATATTTATTAACTAAAATCTTTTATAAAAAAGAAATCTGAGATATTTTAATATATATATTTAAGATCTTTATTTTAATTAGCTTTTACTTTAGTATTTATAACTTATATAAAATAATTCTATTAGTTTCTAATAAATAAACTATATAAGTATAAAATATAAATAGAGAAATAATAAAAGAAGTAGAAATTAAGTTTAGAATAATAAAAATATTTCTAATATTAATGTATTTTATAGCTTTTTATATACGAGAAGTATTTACTTCTCAACTTCCTTTATATATATAATATTTTACTTATTCTATATAAATAAAAATATAATAAACTTAATATTTTAGTATTAATACTATTATTATTATATTTCTTATAACTATTTAAATCTTGTATTCTTATTATTAATAATACTAACTCACTTTAGTATTTATTAATAAATTTATGTCTTATTTATTTATAAAGCTTGAAATAATCTAATCTTATCTTGTTTAGAGTTTATAAATCCCTTTCGAGCTCACCTTTACTTAACCTTGCTCGCCCATAACGGGCTAAAGCAGCACCGGCTCAGATCTAGAAACGGAAATGGAAAATGTCATGAGAATATTCCCACACTGAGCTACCTGCTCGGCCAACTTAAATCGGCTTTCGGAGGTTCGTCCGAAGGGATCGTGGAAACACAAAACTCACTGGCCAAAGATTTCACTTTGTCCTCTATGAACATCCGCGGCAGTCTTCTGCGTGGCCTGCATTTTCGACTGTGCCTTAGACCTTTTCGTTGTCCATGGAATCGCTGGTGTGTTAGGCATGAATTAGCTGCAGAAGCCTGCCGCTTCGATTGAGGTTGGTGGTCTATTGTTTTTGTTGTTCACTACCTGGGAGTGGCCATATCGTTAAGTTACACCATCATTGGCGAATTTGGAAGTGGAGTAGCCTGATCGGTCTCTGAAGTCTCTTGACGCTGTCTTTTGACTGGCATATCATCCAGAGAGATCTTCTCGAGCCGTTTTCTCTTCTTGTTACACTCCATTCTTGTACGAGCCAGCCTCTTGTGCCGAGTGGTCGCGAAATGCTCGTCAACCTTTCTGATAGTTTGGGAAGAATCGACTTCCTTCGAAGAAGGCATGTGGATGTAGACATGGCAGTCTCGGCAGTGGATGAGGGTTGCTGAATCTCCGCCGACGTCGAGCCCTAATTCGGAGCCTGGGTGGCGCTTCTGAAGTCGCTCTAGGAGTTTTATATGCGTTGAGGAAAGGCAGCCTCGTGAGTTTTGACGCTGTGATAACAAGGATGTGGTCAGCAGTTGTACTCTTACAGGACAAATTGGAAGCCTCCCATACCACGTATTCCTTGACCTCCTCCTCATCATATTCAACTGGATGGCCGGGGGATTTCAAATGTGCTTTCCCCACAGCTAAGAGAGAAGGCACCTCGTCCCCGCCCAGGATTTTATGCTCCCACTCAAGGCACAGCTCACATTTGATTTTAGGAAGTGGTGTACGGAAGCCATGCCCAGTAGTGGGGATATTCAGCCCCGTGAAGCCATAGCGGTGACGGAGATTCTTGTATAGATCCAGCATCAGACGCACCCTCCTTTTCATGGCCGCTTTATGCTCTTCAGAATCAAGATGCTGGGAAAATTCACATATATTTGTGAAGCTGTACAGTGGGCAATCTGAACAACGAATACGATGAGTGCCGGATTCCTCCTGAGCTTCGAAGAGGGCGTTGAAATGCCTGTCGCGGAGATTTTGGAGCTCTTCATTGAAGGAGGGACGAGTTATCGACGGTAATTTGGGGCTCTGTTGTGCGTATATTTTCAGCGGTGAGACCAGTCGAGGACAGCGGAAGCACTCACTAACGATGGTATGCGATCATCCTCGTTGCTCCTCGGTATCCCTTGATCACTTTCAACTGAACTCTGCCGCGTTGTAGGAACCTTCTCGAATGGCACCTCCAATGGCACTGTCCCACCAGTACTCCTCGCAACAGACCAGAACACCACCACACCGCTCTTAAAATAGTCCAAATCCCGAATCAGCGCATCCTCCTTCGCAAACGCCGGCCCATCAGCGAGGCGAACCTCCGTTCCTGTCTCAAGCTCCAGCCGCGTACAATGGATACCCCTAACCTTTCCAACCGTACTTTTCTATACGACATCAGTCATGACGAAAACTACCCGAGAGAATGGAACAGAAACATACGCCCTTAGCCTTGAGCCAGAGAAAATTGGCTCCTTCGGATTTAGTGGGGTGTATACTGTGTGGCAGAATGGCAACGTAGAACGAACCAGGGCCTTTGGGCCAGTTGGGCAGGTGGGTTGAGGCCTTTTGGTGGAGGAGTCTGGATTCTATTAGCTTTTCTTTCGAGGAGAGCTTTAGACGCGTGTTTGGGGGCAAGTACTCCCTGAAGCCGTCCATGGCGCAGCTCAATCTGCCAATTTTCTTGAAAGAGTAAAGAGTTCTTAAGGCAAAAGTAACAGATAAAAGAGCGTGTGCGAAAGCTCGTGGAGAATGGCTTTGGAGCTGGTTATCGTCGCTGGTGAGAGTATCCTACAATAAATCTTTCAGCGAAATAAAGTGACGCGTGAGACGTGAGACGCGTCCTGGATTAGCGCGTTAGAGGCGTTGCGGGGCCGGTTTACCTCCGCACAGGGGTTCCACGCCCGAGAGTGCTGAAGTTGGTACCCGAAAATAGGTTTGATAGACTGACAATCAATTTCAAGGACCCCTTCTATTCTTCCCCCGTCCGTCAACCCCATCACGATGTGTCTCGTCATGAGTTCTATGGAGAAACCAGAACCCTGGCAACAGGATGGCATTTGGATGTGAAAAGTGCATTGTTCATCCTCGGATGGACAAGCAGCGCTGGGGGCTTATTCAATTCGCCAAATCGCTAAAACAGCACCCCAATTGAACCAAGTACTCTCCATTTCAAATTCAACGCATCTTTTTACATAGAGCTACAGTGTGAGAACAAAAATCCTCCAGAAGTGCGTGCAGCAGCACCGTCAAAGTAACGAGGGAAGAACCTCCCAGAACCTTTTGCCCATTTCTCACCGTTGCTTGGATTCCCGAAATCGATCAGCTCAGGTTTGTATGCTTGCTTCGCATCCGACTTCACATTTGTTCGGAAGGCCGTGCAACCTTGAACAAGTTCGTAGGTAAACTAACTAAATCAATGACCTATGTCAGTGGCTTGAAAGATGGGCATGCTTTTCATGGAGACATGGTTAGGCCTTTCGCTTTTTGTTTTCTTCTCTCAGGCATTTTTGGTCCTCGTTCCGGTGAGTTCCTATGTGAGAGTTGAGTATAGCAGACGCTTGAACCACGCCATCCTCGGCGAAAGAATCGTCACTGTAGGATGGGCATTCCCCACATTGCACTCTCGGCTCCAGACACCTGGTACATCATTGATCTGAAGTTGGTGAGTTGGGTTTTCCTCCCGCCGTTCCAATAGGACCTCTTTGAGGAATGTTCCTGGGGGAGGGTGCTTCTTGCTTTGAATTGATTCCTAGATTGCATTGTTAGCAGCGAAATGGAACGGCGTTGAATGTGGAAACGCACAACAATCGGCCCAACCATACTGACAGAGGCTATTGCGGATTTCTTGTTCTGTATTCCGGAGGTTTGAGGTTCATTGCTTTTCATAGCGATTAGAGTGGCTCGATATCGAATGCGCTCTGATCACGTACTTTTTGTCCGCTCCCGATACAACTTGCAGGGTAGCATTATCTGAAAAGTTGTCGCAAGGTTTTTGATAAAATCAGCGGCGCGTAGAAGAGGTACATCTGCTTTATCAAAGCAGGGTTGATATGCTGCCCAGAGAGCAATTTGAATAATCTCCCCCTCTAGGTCTTCTTCGGACAGAGACTGGAGCCACTGGAAGCTGCGCTCGGGCTCTTGGAGCGTAAGAAGCCGGGTGAGTGCTTTCTTAGGAATCGGTGCAATCCGTGGACCCATTTGGATTCGAGTCAGCTACTAGCTTGGTGGAGGGGGAGAACGAAGTGGAAGTGTACCGTGTCTGCTTTGTCGCCCGCCTTGGTGCCACCTGAATGCCCACTAGATGTCACATGTATCTGGATGGCAGATAAAACAGCCGTAATATTCGCCCCGAAGCCAATTTTTGGATCCCAGCTTGGGCATAGACGACAGGAAATGTGCGGAAAAGGAGTGCCAAGGTTGTTCGCTGCGATATGCACGCCAGAGCCAGCAAACCGACAGCTCAGATCCAAGTCGATGTTTCGTAGCAATTGCACTCTCCTTTTCAGCTGAGCCCTGTGGTTCACAGTGTCAATATGCCTCAGAAAATTCGAAAAAGTGGTGAAGATGGATTCGCCGTCAGGTACTTTCAGGGGGCACTGGGACAATCGACGCAATAGATTTGAATACCACTGGATCCACGGCTGGTTTCGGAGAGTACAAGAAGGCACCTTTTGTTCGGCTCCTTTCTCACTTGTTCTCATCTCAAGAGAGTGGTTGGCACCGATTCCGGGTCCTGTCCCGCGTCAGTTCCCAGCTCTATACCTAATCCAAGGCCACGAAGAAGGTACTCACTGTCGGCGGTGTAGGCCCTTTCTCTTCCTTCTCTCCCTGCACTGGCTCCACTTTTGCGACAGCTTGCTGATTCAAAGACACCACCGGTAACGGCGCCCTGCCACCAGGCGCTGTCCTTACGAGCAATGTCTCCTTCTCAGGTACATATTGTAGTGCCATCGTCAATTGTCCTCGTTCGCCCAAAGCACAACGGTTCCGCTCTTGAAATGGTCGAAATTTTGCATTTGGGCATCATCCATAACAATCTCCATCCCACCAACCAGAATGGTATCCGTTCCGATCTCCACACGTCCGCTGTGTATGCTTCGTATCGTCCCCGCCTTGAGCCACAAGAAATTGTCCTTATTGCACTTCGCAACGCTTATGTGGTGTGGCAGGATCGCAACGTAGAATCCATTCGGTTCCCTTGGCCAGTCGGGCAGGCGGCTCAAGGCTGTGTGGTGAAGGGGTCTGTTATTTTGTTGGCTTGTTGACATTCTGACAGCAGTAGATTTCCTTACTCTCGATGGACCTTCATGACTCCGTGTTCGGAGAGTTCCAATTGATCTTGGCCCACGGAGTATAGGCGATAGCATGTATCAGGTTGGACGAAGTACAGGTTTGGGTTATGTCCGACGGCATGAGTACAGAAGTGGGTGTTTCTGCGAGGTGACAGAGAGGCGCGTCAAGGATCAGTGGGGAGCGGTTCCAGGGGCTTGAATCTAGCAACGTCGGGTCCTCGAGACACCTAGAGGCCTGGAAGCGCTAAGATTGGTAGCCGAGCAATAGCGCAGCTTAACTTTACCCAATTCCCACGTCCATCGTCAGTCACTTCGGGGAAAAGTAAAACGACACCCTGGGGCCCGGGGTATCGATTGTGGGTATCGATGAGGGGTGTCGATGAGGGGCCATATGTGATTTACTCCGAAATAGTCAAGCACAACCCCACAGTCTTGCAGCTCCCCGCCAGCTCCTCTTCCCTCACTACGAAGGCGACGGGCGAAAAAAAAACCGGCCACCTGCCAAATCGCGAGGAACACCAAAATCGCTACCTGTGGAAAATCACACTAAGGTTCAATACAACGTCTAAACTCTTTACTTTTTAATTTGTGTAATAGAGAAGAAGCAGATCTATCTTTTATAATAATTTTGCTGGAATTAAATTCAAGTTACAATTACGACAAATTTTTTATCGCAAGGCTAAGATTACGCAAATTCTCGCTTAAGGGATTTGGACTGTTTTTTTCGCCCGTCGCCTTCGTACGTGTCGCTACCCTCAACACTGAAGCGCTGCTCTACCAACCTCGGAGCGATTCCTGCGCGCTACTTGTGTTCCCGGAAGGATAAGAAAACGAGTAAATGGAAGCACTAAGTACACAGGGAAGGGTTGAAATTGTGAAGTATGTCACGGATGGGGGAAAGCTCCTAGCTGTTGGTGATGGGGTTGCCACAGCATGCGGAGGAGAAGGGAGTTTGGGATTCTACAAAGGCGGTTGCACGCGAGAGAGTGAGGATGCAAAATTGAAAAGCCGGTCAACTATAATCGCAGAGGGCAAGCTGTTTCGACTGAAGAAGGCGGGGGAGGAGAAAACGCAGCTGTCTTGTACAGTACGGTCGCTGATGGGGCAGTGGTATTGGCGAGCCGCAAGTGTGGAACTTATGTAAAGCTTACCGATTAAATTACCCCTATGGAGATGGAAATAATAGACACAAGCCCTGCTATGGTCATCCCGGCAAGCTACAACAGTGTCGAAGCTTTGATAAAGGACCTAAAGCCGTAAACCCGTGCGCAAAGAGCGAAGAGCGGCTCAGCGTTTACTTCAGAAAGCTGAGGTTGAAATTGGGGCAAAAGGGAAGATGGCGATTTACAGCTATCAGTTCTACACATTTCATCAAGCATAGAATCGACGGCTCAGAAGCTCAAACATTCGTGGCACGATCTATCATACCAAGGGACCAAGCAGAATGTATTGGCGGCATGAAAGATACGTTTCGCATTGAAGCAGTGACTATCGAGAGGTCTGTTGAGATGAATGAGAAGACCAATGAATCCTTGGCAGCTTTCGATGAGTCTCGAGGAAGTGATCTAAGCATCTTTGTTCATGTTCAAGACCATCCAACCCATGAAGAGACTCCGCTCTTTGACCACAACGAATTCTTCTCAGGGCTAAGACAACGTCAATCCACCTCTCCGCAGCAATTGGATGGCTTCGGAAGCTAAATAATATATGGTCAGGTAACGATAAGTACCAAGAATACAGTGGAAAGGCTGTATCATTGTGACGGCGCTGGCTGGGGCCAAAGGGGGGTGGCTGTCACATGACTAGTTTCACCTAGCTAGCCGTCGTTTTAGTGGTTTTAGCTAGTACTTCCCTCCCTTTATCCCCTCCTTCTTCCCCCTCTCACTCCTTCTTCCCCCTCTCACTCCTTCTTCTCTTTAGCTTAGTATTTTCAATATATGAGATTCTTGGATCTTTGAGCCCTGGCCATTGCCTCGATCCCGCCGTCACAATCATAATTAGAATTACTTAATAGGTATAATATAATTGCTTTATATAGCCGAGCTTTATATATATACTCTAAAGCTTTTATACTTTAATTGAGCGTTTTTCTAATTGGCTCTTAATTAAATCTTTTAATTATAATATAATTTCTTATTTCACTCGATTTATAACTGAAGTCTCTTACTAAAACACGTTTTCGCGAAATTTTATTTCTTTAATAACTAAATAACTACAAATCCGTTTATTATAAAATTCGAAATTCGAAATTTAATTATATAGAATAATAACTTCGTATAATAATAATATTAGATTTATAATAATTATAATAACTATTAAATTTATATTTATATATATAAAAGAATAAACTTTTAATATTACTTTTTAATTACTATATAAATTATTATAAAGCTATATATTTTATATTTAAAATACTTATACTATTTATAATATATAAAAGATTTTTCATAAAAAGTATAATTTCTTAAGAAAATTTAAATAAAAGTTTAAAGAAAATTAAATTATTATTAATTTTTAAATTTCTTATAAAGTATAATTTAATAAAGAAGTTATGTTTAATTCCTTTAATTTATTTATAAATAATATAAATAGTAAAACTATTTTTATTTTTATTTTAATTAAAAGTATTATATATATAAAGATTTATAATTTTAAATTTATCTTAATTTAAAATAATATTATATTATATATTATTTATATTTATTAATTAAAAAATATATTTTAAAGCTCTTTATGTAAATAAAAGTAAATATAAATTGTTTTTATTAATAATATTTAATATAATATTTATATTATAACTTTTATAATATATTTTTTATATTTTATATTAAAATTATAAATTATTTCCAAATTATTAAAGACTTAATAAAGATAATATTATTATATTATTAGTTATATATTAGTAAAGTATATAAAAATAAATTTGAGGATTTCTTTCAAAATTATTATAAAAAAATTAATTATAATTAAATATTAATATTAATTAATAAAAACATTTGTAATTATAAATCTTTATATTTAAAATCTCTCTTTATATATTATTTTTATAAATTAAAATTAAAATTTTATTAAAATTTCAAATTTCAAAATTTAAATCTTTAGTTTTATAATTAACTTTTTAAAAAACAAGTCATATAAAATTTTAATATATATATTATAAATACTATAATGAAGTAATAATTTTATAATTCTTTCGCTTTATAATATTATATAATATTAATATATTTTTATTAAAATTATTAAAATTATTAAAAATAGAATTTTATAAAATATATTTATTATCTATATAATTTAATACTATTAGTAGGCTTTATATACTTAGGGAATTCTATATATTAAAAATAAAAGAATATTATAAAGTAGTTACTTTTTAATTAGTAAAAGTGTTTTTCTTAAGCGCGTGTTTTAGTATAGGACGTGTTTTAATACGGGGAATCGATTATATATTAATAATTAGTTATTATTAAATTATATCTTTATAATAAAAATTTTAATTTTAGATATAAATAATTGATCTTCTCTAAAACTCAGTAACTTATATGTGTACTACTATAAAGATTACATATAGTTGCTTATTTATTCCGTGCGGCCTCTCCGCCCCCGGCCCCGAATCTGGATCTAGCTCACAAGGCCGAGCCAAGTCTTTCTCATCCCTGATAAATCGCAGGGCTGAACAACCTCTGCAGGTTCATTGGATGAGGATACATCTTATACGAGAGCTGACAAATTAAGCTTTCAACCGAGGGAGAGAAGCTTTACACGATTGATTTTTGAGAGGCGGTGTGGTGGAGCTGGGGTCAACATCAAGAACCTTCGGGTCCAGTGCATGATTCCGCAACAGCCCTCTATTGCTTAATTTATTATTACCAACAACTTTCTAGCGATTTTACCAGTAAGGGCCAGATGGAACTTGGAAGCTCGTATTCGAGAACTTTTGGGATGAGCAATCTTGAAAGTCTTCAAAGCTGTGACCGCAGACCGCCTCTGCCACCTTTAGTTTCTGCACGATGAGTGACCGAAACCACACAAACCCGCCACAAGTGAATCTCATTAGCTGGCACCTATCTTTAGAGGGAAATGAGTCTCACGTCAGCATCAAATGCGGCGAGAGTTTTGTACATCTCCAGGGGCCATTGACAGGTGTTAATGCGGAGTTTGAAAACGCAGATGGGGGCCGAAAATGTGGCGAGGTACTGTACATATTGCTGTGAATTTCCCACCAAAATGAATTTTAGCTCCCTCTAAGAACTCACCCGACTAAAATCTGAGTTCCTTTCAGTCTCTTCACTTTCGGAAATAATAAATCAAAATGGCAGACGTTGAGCCAACGGTCCCAACACCCGCCCCGGCCGTCAGTTCTTCACCAGCGCCTAAGTGTACCCCAGTGGCCGCCGAACCATCGATTGCAAACACTACCCCAAAGGAGACACCTGCGGTCCAGAAGCAGGTTTCATCTACTCCTGCTCCTGCAACGATAACTGTGAACAAGCCGCCAACTTCGAGATCAGCCCCGGCTCCAAAGTCCACAAATGGAACTCCAGAGCGGACAACACCATCTTCGACCACCCCCACTAGCAAGCCGTCAACAACCATGGCTACAATGAGTAAGCCTGTTGCCAAAACAGCAACATCTTCGATATCTGGCCTAGGAATTTCTCCAAAGCCAGCTGCTTCAACACCTGCCACCAAATCAAGTGCACCAGCTTCCTCGGCGGCAAAAGTCGCATCTTCGGTGAGTACTCCGGCGAAGGCACCTGGTGCTCCACTAGTTTCCAAGTCCGTACCAACAAAGTTGTCAACGACCACACCAAAGGCGGTAGCTGCGAAAGAACCTATTCAAGCCGCTGCAACCCCGCCCGTACCCCTCAACGCAGCAGACAAGACTATCAAAGCCATTGACGGTGGGATCAAAGTTATTGAAAAACTAGGAGGCTTCATGGGAGCTTTGGGAAACCTTTTAAGTGATGACGATGAGTAAGTTTTCCTTCATCCTAGAAGGTTTCAGTATATTGGTCTAACACTTCTCAACAGCAAGCCAAAGGCTCCAGTGGCAGATCCAAAGAGCGTTACTTCTGCTTCGGCAGCGGTGAAACCGACAACTGCAATTTCCAAATCTCCTGCAGTACTGGCCAAGACTGTCTCGAAACCAACTGGCGTCCCTGGCACAGCCCCAGCAACATTAACCACAAGGAGTATCACTCCTACAGAAGCAAAGCCTCAGCAAGCCCCCGCACCTGTCTCAGAGGCACCAGTTCAGGCTCCAAGAGCTCCCGTGGCTGCATTCTCCAACCCGGCGAGCCCTCCTCCAGTTGCTGCACCTCTTCACCCTCAGGAAAGAAGCCATGATACATCACAGACAAGCAACTATCAGGTGCAAGAAATGGCAATTTCGGAATACGGAGGTATCAGCAAAGAGCTTGATGAGCAAATTCACGGCCACCGGGGCGCTCCAGCTGGCGAGGATGGAGGTCATGATTTTGCGGTTGGTGGGAGTGGGCACAATGAAAGTCAACACCAGGAAGGCGCTGGTCAAGAGCCGATGCACGAGTTTGGAAACGAGGAGGAAGGCTCCAACAGTTTCAATCATGAGGGAGGAGAGTACAATGAGGTGCAAGATGATGGAACTGATGATGAGCCTGCGCACACTTATCAGAATGAGGATGAGGGAAAACAAGGAGATGGTGAAGAAGAGCCACAGGATCTCATTCAAGAGGAGCAAGACCCAGAAAGTGGAGAGAACGAGAATGGAGGAGGTGCTGAGGATGGGGAGTATGAGGGTGGAGAGAATGAAGTCGGGCTGTATGAGGGAGGCGATCAAGAAGGAAGCGAGCAGCAAGGCGAGGAGCAAGATGACAACGGCGGAGAGTATAACATTGGAGGCGAAAATGAGAATGGAGAAGAGGATAATAACAGTGATGGGGAGGACGACGAGTAGTTTCCCTACTCACTGCCGCTTTCCTAGCAAGTTCAGGTCTAAGTAACAGCAAAGTATTAACGAACTTCATCAATTCCATACTTTCTAAAAATTGACAGTGGCAACTTGCAGCTCAGGGTCGCATCCTCAAACCAGCAAAGAACATACTTACTTGCTTTTCCAAAATGAATGATAGAGTCAACACTAAAACCTCGCACTCTATCAAGCTGACAGGAAACTATCTCATCACATCACTGTGTTTCTTACTTCCAAACTTCCTATTTGCGCTATTTCAACCTCGCTAAAGCCGCTTATTTAGACAAGCCGAAGGCAGTTGTAACTTATGGAAGGTGAGAACGGGCATAGTTTCTAGCTGGATATATATATTAAAAGATTGCTTATTAATAAAAGCGTTATAAGCTAAGATATTAATTTTTTAGAGAGGGGTGTTTTCGAGAGTTTTTAGTGAAATCGAGCGTGTTTTAGTGCGGGCCTTTGGTAGTTTCCTTATTATTTATTTTTTTGAGGGGCGGAGAGTTGGTTAGACTAACTAGTCTCAGTGTGTCAAAGAACTACTCATGCTACTCATGCTACTCATGAATATTCATGAGTAGCGTGAGTAGAATATGAGTAGCGTAATGTCCTAAAAATTTGAGTAGAGTAGAGTATATACTCATGAGTAGTATGAGTAGTAATGAGTAGCCGTCACGTGACAATAATAAACTAAGGTTTATTTAATAATAATTAAATAATAAAGATATTTATTAAGTGGCCCCAGGAAAGGTAAGCTAGGGCTTGTATAAGACTAGCTAAATATTAATTTTCCATAATAATAAACTAGTTATGCTTCTTAGAATCTTAATTTCCTCTTGACCTTTGGCTCGCTTACTAAGCAATGCCATTGCCTAATTGGGTAGAAACTTGGCGCTAGAGAGGCGCTAGATGGGAGGCTTACCCAATTAGGCTAACTTGTCACGTGCAACTGTCACGTAGGTACCTACTCACACTACTCATACTACTCATGAGTAGCTTGAGTAGAGTATGAGTAGAGTATGAGTAGGACCCACTACTCTACTCTACTCTACTCTACTCATTTGACACACTGACTAGTCTAATCAAATACGGTTCTAATTTCTATTTCTTTTATATAGACCATAGATTATTTATGTATCTCGTACGGAAAATATTTGGCAGACTAGCGGCTAACCAGGAAGTAGTACTTGCTCCTACCTCTTCATCCAACCACAAATCAAATTGCTTTCAGAAAGACTATGTTTGCTACGAACTGATTTCCAACAGTTTACACTACAAGAGGAAGAGGGAGAGGAGTGGAGTGATGCGAAAGGAGGTACAAGTTAAGGTCGTGGAGGTGTAAAGTGGTGCGCGGGGTAAATTGGTGGCAAGTAATTCGAGGCAATTTGATATTTTTTCGGCATTGGTTTCTGGCGTTTTGGGAATTATAGAACCTCGCTACTCATACACTCATCTCTTCTCCAATCTATATAATAAAAATATAGCATAGAATGTAACCCTGTGGAAGGAAGCTCCATATCTTTCAAAGAAGCTTCAACATCGGATCCTTCTTCAAATACTCCTCGACCATCTTCATCCCCTTTACAGGAATCGCGAAATTACACCAGTAGCCTTCCTCCGTCTTGCACATAATGGTAGCGATGACTAAACGGAAAAGCATTAGTTCCCGCCGACAATCAAACACAGGGGGTAACTCACATCTTCCCACCCCACGCGTAGACAGCCTCCCCTCTCCTAAGACTAGAAACTTCGGTCTTCTCGAACCCTCTTTCACCTTCCCTTGTCCCCTAACGACGGAAGTAAAATCCAAAGGCCTCCAAGCTGAAGTCCAACTCGCGACGTGGTAGGACCTCTCGAGCGGCTCGCAGGTAAAAATGTTTTGTCCACGGCGGACCATTTCTCTGACAACACTCATGCCGATCTCAATATCTTTTGGATCCAGAGCCTGTTTGAGCGCTAGCCGATTCTGGTATGCGATCTCGGCGACTGGTGTGGAGGGTTCCATTTTGAAGTGTGCGGTGGAGCAGTGCAGGGAATTGTGGATAAATGCGTCGGCGGTATCGCCTTCGAGCATGGGTACGCGTCGTCGCACTGAAAGGTTTGCGTCAGTGAGCGAGATCTTGAGGTCTGGGAAGGAAACGTAGCTCACGGTTGACACTCTGCGACATGGACACCTTCCGCTTTGAAGTTCTATGTATTTGGGAGAACTGAACCGGTAAGTAATGTTGAAACTTATATGCGCACTTTTAGGAACTTGCCTTCATGAGGATACCCGTGAGGATGTCGCCATTAGTGAGACCCGGGTCTGTTCCGTACTTTTCCTTCAAGACTTTCGTGTAGCGTTCTTTCAGTGATTCCACCACCGGGACAGGGACGAACAGCGAGTGGTTCTCCTCATTCGGACGAAGAATCAGGTCAGGGATTGCCCCCAGGAGGATCATAGGATACTCTCCTGTACGCCGTACCCTCATCCTCCCTTTCCGGACTATTTCCTCCTTTTTGTATTCAGAATATTCTTTCCCCTTCGGGATTACGTCTTCATTGAATCCAACCATAGCCGGAGGTAGCTCCCCCTTAGTCAAGCCCAGCCACGCTTTCATGATGTTCGCCAATCCGTACTGGTCCCCAACCGTGTGTGGACAACTGATAGCAATGACCGTGGTATCATCGGTAAATGTAGACATATGCACATGGAGCAGAGGCGCGTTTGGTTCATCCTTTTGTTCAAATGGCCAGTCTGATGGTCTGAACCACTTGTCGAAAGTTTCTGGGGAAGGGAGCAGAACAACACCCAGTTCAGGTGGAGTGGTTTTTGGGAGGCCGGCCTTGTCTATCGAATGATCGTACTCCTTGGAAGACCACCTGAACAGGACGTACTTCTCATCGAATGTTTTGGGGAGGTGCCACTCGAGCACTCCATCTCGAGGTCGTTTGAAGAGTCGCGCTCCCAGCTTCCGCCAGTGATCCCTGACCAGCCTGTCCAGCGCATTTCTAAGGGTGTCTTCATCCAGTTGCTCATCAACGATGAAGAAGGTTCGCGTCCGGATGTTGTCGATTGGTTTGTGTTGATCTGTTGGGAGAACTGGTATCACCTCCATTTGGGATTGTTCTGAATCGGAGGACGATAAGCCGGACTGACTAGAGAACGAAAACAAAACGGACGCGGGCTGAGATCAAAGGAGCAAGCTTGGCCAGCGTTTAGCAGAGGGTTTTCTCAAATTGAGGTTGCCTCACTATTATGAATTGTTCTCAGGAACGAAAGCGAGGCTTTGGGTCTCACGTCAGAGATAAGTGGAGCGAGGCGCGTCCGGACAGTACGAATTGAGCTTCTGACTGTCCGCAATTTCGACTGATAAGCAAGCGGTGAGTCGTGTTTCAGCGCTGTGACAGCGTCCCCGTGGTTCTCATCATTAATATAATATCTTGGCTCAGTATACAGTAGTTTTGGTAGGATTCGAGGCCAAATTGCATTTACCTACCACACTATAATTAGTGTTGTTAAATATAGCAATATGCTACTATTTGGAGATTTAATAATATATTACTATAATGCTTTCCTAACTCAATGTATACTGAATTTTATTACGAAACTAGCTACTAATATATTACTCTTTTATATTCCTCTTATTATATACTAATATTTAAAGGTTAAGTAGTAAGTATAGTTAATAGAAGTTGATCTCTTAATTTTTTGACTTTGATTTTCGGATGGGATTTCAAAGCTTACTGCACGACTGTGCAAACTCCACTAACTGACGATAGAGCTAGAAAACGCGGCAGAATCAAGCTTATTAGTCGAAATTGCGGACAAGCAGACGCTCAATTCGTACGATCCGGAGACGGCTCCTAAGTGGGGCCCTAACTGCTCTTGCCGGATTGGGCGTTTCGAGAAGCGAGCTAGAGAGCAGCCGCGAACAATAACAGGCAGAAAAGGCCAAAGACCAATGCTGACATTTAAATTCCCTTCTACAATCGGCTTTCAATTGGGGATCTCAAAATCAAGGGTTAAAACAGTAGTAAAACTTTGGTTTCTGGGCTGAGACGAGCGCAAAGCAGAAGTCGAGTGGGATCACGTGAACTCTTGTGGACGTTGAAGATCCTCAGAGGAGATAGGCAGAAGTGAACCAAGTACCAGGTTAATGAATTACCAGGTCAAATTCACGTTACATAGGAACACAAGAGATTTCTAGAACTGTGATAAATTCTAGAAGAGAAGCGTGAAGCTCATTGAAGCTTGGGAGCGAGGCTAAATACTCCTTAGCGCCATAATTAAGCGAAATGTGTGCCTAAGGCTCAAGCGAATTTTCCCCTCACAACGTGCACACCAAGCACTCATTTCGCCTCGTCCTCACATCCTTGTCGACTCATTTTGACACCTCCCAACCACCGGGTGACTGGATTCTACCTTCACTTATCAATCAGGGCGTGGAAAGAAACCATTCAGCGCAGACCAACATACTATCAACGGCCACATCTGTTCGATTCGCCGCAAGGCCAGACATGGTTGCGAGTAGGAGATAAATTCTGTTGACTCAGGTGACAGATCCCGTCCGAACTTGAAGATCTCACATATTCCCTGCTGACTTCCGTCCGTACTACCAGATAACTCTCTCGCCCTCTCAATTAAGCCTGTACCTTGGCTTTTGTCGGAATACATTCATTTCGGTGGATAGATTAATTTGGTTGTCCTATCTCCAGATGGCAGAGTTGGCTTTATCTCCGCAGTCACGTGGTATTGCCCCTCCGCTCAGTCTCTGGGGATGGATATCACTCCTCTCGAAAGCTACGGGGATAAGTAATCTCTCTCTCTCTCTCTCTATTCCCCGAAAAAGGAAACACAAGAAGCCTTCTAACGGCATTCACAGCAATAACTGTGCTCCTCCACGCCCTGAAAACCTCAGTCCGGTCTCCCAAGAACGGCCTAACAACCCACCAACAAATCGCCTACACCGGAATCCGCATCTACCAATCCAGTCTCCCCGCAACCAGTATCCAGAATCTGCGGCCCTCAACAACCACTACGTGCAAGAGATTCGCCAAAAAGCATTACATGAGACACTCCCCAATCCAACTTCCAGACGGCACAATCGCTTGCTGGATCGGCCCTAAGGATGCCCTTAAAGTGGTGATTGTGTTCCATGGGGGAGGTTACATGGCCGCTGCACTAACCGAACACATCTCCATCGGATTCGCCTTCTCGGACCCGACTCGAAAAGACCTCGCAGTGGTGGTCCTGCAATACAGACTCGCATCCGAGAACGCAAACCATTATCCAATACAGCTCCAACAAGCTGTTTCTCTCCTCCAACACCTCCTTCATGACCTCAAAATCCCCTCCTCATTCATAACATTAATTGGCGACTCAGCAGGCGGACACCTCCTCCTCTCCCTTCTCCTACACCTGACACACCCCAACCCCCTCACTGCCCCCCTCAAATTGGAAACCAATCTCTCCTCCGCAATCCTAATCTCACCCTGGGTAACGGTATCTACCTCCGCTACCTCGATGCAACTCAATTCAGAAAAAGACATCCTCACCATTTCCGGCCTCGAATACTGGGGCCGCAACTTTCTCGGTGGCAAAGAGATGGACTGTTGGAATACGCCGCTGATGGCGGAGGGGCAATGGTGGGGTGAGGTGCCTTGTGAGGAGATGTTGGTGTTGTATGGAGAAGATGAGTTATTTCGGGATGATATTGATGAGTTTTGTGCGAAGTTGAAAGTATGTTTACGCCTGGCTATGGGACTTGTGCTAACGTTGAGCAGGCAAATCATGCAAAGACCACGGCGCTGAAATTTGCTAATGAGATTCATGTGCATATGGTTATGAATCGATTCTTAAAGATCAATAAACCATGCGAGTCAGAGAAGGTGTTTGCGAAGTGGATGAATGAGCATCTTGGATCTCGATAGCCATTCCCAGGGGAAGAAGATATTAATAAGGAGTTTCAGATTTGGTTTTAAGTTTTAAGTGCCAAGTAATAATACTATACTCAAATCCCAGTTATACTCATTTCGCGCTCATTTATTTAATTATATAAAATGCAAATTTAATCTCGAGCTTATATAAGAAAATAAGAATATATATAATAAGTTCTTAAAAGTAAAGAAAATTAAAAATAATATTAAATATATTTTAATTATTATATAATATATAAGTTTTTCTTTTCGTATCTTTTATATACCGAAATTACGTGCTTTAAGGGCTTAGCTCCCGAATTTATTTCATTCTTATATAGGCTCTTTAAGATATTTAATTTATAATTTTTAAAGAATATATTTTATATTATAATATAAATTTAATAACTTGAATAATATATATATAAAGAATTATTTAAATTTAGATTTAATAATATATTAAAAAAGTAATAAAAATCTATTAAATTAAAAAGATTATATAAAGTTATAAATAATTATATAATTAAAATAAAATAATTCTAATTATATATGTGACGGCAAGAACAAAGCAATGGAACGATGCTCAAAGATCTATAATTCCAATGTCCTACAGAATCTAAAGCTAAGGAAAGAAGGAGTGAGGTGTGGCAGTGGATAAGTAGGTACGGCCAAGACCCACTGAAACGCCGAGCTTTGGAAGCGAGCTTGGTTTGAACCACAGCTTGGAACCTTAGCTGAAACCAACCATGTGACATTAGCCGTCACAATATATATTTAATTATTTAGCTTATAATAAGAAAATTCTATATTTAAATGTATAATAATAAGCTAATATATCTCTTATAATAGCGCATTACATTCCATATTAACTATTAATATTGCCTGTACTTAGTTAAATTAATTACAATTTTACGAATTGTGAAATCTTTATTAACTACCGCGATATGTGCAGTAGATTTTTGGGGTAGTATCCCAAGAGCGATTTGGTTCTTTAGGCCCGGATCTCTCTGTTCACATCGCATTTCTGCCATATTGCTGAAACTACCTGCGTGTGCAGTGCTATGGCTGAGCCAATTCCTGACGTAGGAAGAAAACAACACTTAAGCAAGCCCAGTAATATAAGTGTGACAGTTCAATAATTTACAATTATTAATCGACTGAAACTAAAATTCCAAAACAATTCATTTCTCACCTTCGCCAATGTTATTTGTCGAAGGAGTGGGAGGGTTAGATCCAGGCTGTGTTTGGATATCGGGGTTGATCAAGTCGGTAAGGTTACTCAAAGTGCTATGAAGAACTTCCCATCGGTCATCAAGCACTACCCATCCTCTCTTATTCACAAGCTTAAGCACCAGAAAGATCGTTAGAAGGAGTCCTGGCTGGAAATCCACATGCCAAGTCAGTATGCTGAAGTTAAAAGGCGATTTTTTAGGATAGATTTCCACTCACACCGAGAAATACAGTCAGCGCTTTTGACTTCTGGTCCTGACCGTTCCACAAACTGGCAGTATTCAAGATGAACACAATCACAAGACAGGATATCAGACCAACATATGCGGGACCGGGCTGTAGGGCAGAAGCCCAGCTCGAGAACCCCTTTTGGGGCCACCGCTGGAATTGTTGCAAGTGTTCCCCTTGAAGTTCTTCTTTATGCTTCCAAAGCCTTGGATAATAGTGTTAGCACTGGTCTATTGGGAACTATAGTCGGCATACCATTTATTGTATCTGATAAACGCAAGACATTGAGAAGCCCATACTAGCAAGCATCCTGTACTTCCGATTGACTCGAAAGTGTTTTGAAGCTGGAGGTTGTGGTCAGTACTGTTGGTTCATAAGGAAAGAAATATTGAAACATACGTCCTCTTGTGTATACCCAGAGTGGATTTTTATGAATGGTAGCCAGGATGAGAAGGCTAGGACAGAAACTAGGAGAGACCAGAGAGGAACCCGAGTGCGGGGGGAAATAACGTTCAGTTTTGCCGCCATTCTAACGAGGAATCGTTCATCGTCATAGGCAAGATCTCGAGTGAGGCCATAGAGAGTTCTTGAAGCAACATATAATGATGCATTGGCGGCACTGAGTCCAGAATACATGAGGAGCCCAGTCAAGACAGCTGGGAGAGTCTTCATCCCAACCTGTAGCGTAGCAATAATTGGTGCAGCACTGCTTCTCAGACCTGTCTGCGGAAACCATGGGGTATGTCCCAGATTGGGGGTTTGGAGCGAAACAAGTGGCTGACTAAAGAATTGCGGAAGATTTTGGTTGAACCATTCTATGTTGGCGATGAATCCTCCAATGTTCAGGACGTAGAAGATCAGGGTGAAGTAGGCAATGTTCTTTGCAGGCATCCGGAGTTCTTTCGGCTTTGCAGCTTCAAATGCGGTAACGGTGACAATTTCGACACCTGTGTACGAAAAAGTCGCGATGGGAATAGCGATACTGCCCGAGGCGTTAAAAAGTCGGATGGAGCGAAACAAGCTTAGAAGCACTTACATTACTGCAACGAATTGGCTTCCGGCTACATTTGGGTTGTTCTTTATGCCATCGTTGAAAACTATGTTTGGAGTAAGATATAGTAATCAGGGGGTAAATAAGAAATTACGGACAGGCGCTTCCAATACTAGGACCTCCACCAGCTTTGTACAACATCAGCATCGTTGCGACTAAACCATGTGTACATTGGCTTACCTCCGTTGTTGACACAAATCATAGTGAGGAATATTATCGTAACGAGGAGAAGCTTAAAGATGCCTCCTGCAAGTTCGATTCTTCCAAATAGCTAGATCTCAGAAATTAGAAAAGCCTTTTCCGAGAAAGGGTAATGCCTACTAAGATGCCAGAACAATTGATAAGGAACAGTACGAATATGCATCCAAAAAATACGACATTGAGGAGACCAGTGGATATATTCCAGTAGGATAGTAGACCGGCGGCGCCAATAACCAAAGCTGTCATTGTACAAGCCCAGCTATACCTACATTGAGCATTAAATTATATTGCTTCGAAGAGATATAACCAGAAAGTTGGGAAATAACATACCAGTAGGCTATCCCAACGACGATAGCAAGATCCTTGTCCACAAAAGCGCGGACGAACTCAATCATGGCATTTGAGATAGGCCACAAGACTATCATTTCACAAATCCCTTCCATGACACAGATGGCAACAAACCCGTTCACACCAAACGCAACCAAGGTCCCCCCGGGCCCAGCGATTGCAAGGACTTGGCCGCTCGTTGTGGCAAATCCAATGCCGATTATTCCCCCAATCGTGATCATCTGGAAGGGCTTTCAGCATAGGTGTCTGCAAAGAGTACACTGGCGTTCTCATTCAACAGCTTTGAGGCCTCGGAGATCTTCCCAGCAGGGACTTATTCTAAACGAGCGCATTATAATATTCGGGAACGACTTACAAATATGTGATACCAGCGTAATTTCCTTCTATAAAGTATATTGTCAGCAAAATATGTATTATTTGGACGCAGATTGAGCGCACCTCATGACAGGTGCTGATGCAGGGGAATTGTGATCCATGATGCTTAGTTCCAACTTCTAAGAACTAAGGCTGGGATAAGCTTTGTGCGAATGTCGGCTGCAGATAGAAAGAGCGCAGAGTGATCGGAACCAGAGGGATTTTGATGATTTCAAGAGGGCCCTGTTCGACACAGCGGAAATTTTAGGTGCATGTGTGCTGTCTTTGGTGGCTTGGTGCCTCCCCTGCCTGGAGTGGCTTGGTCAATATTGAGCGCCCGACGCCGCGATAAATTTCCTCTTTCTCACCGACAAGGCAAGCAGCGACAAAATCAGAGTCAGGGTCATTTGCTTGCTCGCGAGTTTGGAATTAATAATGCCACTCTGATAAAGCCGCCCAGGATCCTGCTGTACTTCTACGACACCCATTTCAAATTCCAGCGGGCCACCATGATGGCTTCAGCGGCGCCGTTAAGGAAATATCAGACTGAGCTCAGAGACACAGGTTACATCAGCAGGGAGGCATTGAAGGCCAAGCTAGTGGAGATATTTGGGCAGATGAATTTCAAGATCAGCGTATGTCAAATATTCTTCACTGAGGACAGTCGCTAACACCCAAGTGCCACAGACGAAGAATGAAAGATGGATATACTACGCGCCACGAAGACTGACTCCGGTGAGTTTCAACCTGGCAGAATGCCTTATTGACTTTGGCTATTTCCAAGGTTAATTTTGAAACTTACAGGAAGAAATGCAGTACGTAACAGCGACTGGTAAACCCAAGCACTGGAGCAACATCGCTGACGGCGGCGGCAAAGATCAATTATGCCCCATGGTGAAACCTAGCTTCTGGGCAAGGCTGAGTTTGCTTGTTTTTTTCTCTCGATTTTGGTGTTTGGGTCGCCGATGGGGGGAGCTGTGCCAACGCAGTCGGTACAGAGGGGGTGACACAAGTCGCAGATTGGTTGCCGGAACCATGTATATATGCAACCAACCAAAAACAGAAACTGCCTTGAATGCGGCCTCTTACCCCCCCACGCTATTTATGGGCCTGGGCGTGCGTGTGATATGCACTGCGGCCATATTACTCGGGACACCTCAAGCAATGAACGGTCCCCTCCAGCAAAGGAAAGAGTGCCTGACACGATCAATCCGCCTACGCCCTGTGACGATCCCCATGGCAAATTGTGAGACACCTCACATTTAAACAACTCAACATCAAGAAATCAAGAAGTATGTCCTGATCGTTGATGTCAAGCCTCGTTGCCACATACGAAATAGATGTCCCAAGAGGCCATTATCGAACTCTTACAAATGGCCCCATGCAAACTCTGGCAAGCTTGGGATGAATCCCTCCTAAACATGTCAGATTTCGACCCAATGGCCATCGATGCTCAGCCGTACACCGAACAACTTCAACAACTATCAGCAGTGTTATTTTCTCCACGCATAGACGTCGAGGTCATCGAATCTTCAGCGCCATCAGATACCGTCAGATTGTCTGCCTTGCAGGACGAGGCAAGTATGAAAAGTTTGCTTTCGAGAACAGTTGTTCCCCAATTGCGAATAATGTACGTAGACCCCCTTGAGGACACCAATATAGGTGCTGATAGGAAGGGCAGTTCCATAACTCAGGATAATTCTGTGTCACCCTTCAACATTGATGAGGATTCGATGTGCGAGGTACTCAAACGCCACCAAGTTCCATCTGGATTTCTGGATGTTATCTGCCGCTTCGGCGACAGGCAAGTTTTTTCCGACGAAGGGGTAGGGAGCGTTATCTGCAACAATCCAAATAGCTCATGTCGGGGTACTTCGCTCCCTAACTTATCTCCTATCATACTTGCTAATAATTTGGTCAAAGACATATTCTATCAGCTTCGCTATGCAGAGAGGAATGGCCGAAAGCACGGCGACCCATGGTCATTGCGCCAAACTGGAGTCTACCACCGTTATTCAATGCCAGCAGTGGGAGTGGGCCAGAACTTTTGCCTCTTGCTTCACCCAATGCAGAACTCCAAAGCTCAGAAGCGAATTTCTATGGCAGCATCGACCGGCATGACTTCAAGGACGATCGGGTTGGATCCTGTGCGATTGCATGTCTTGATCATGTCATCCTACGTTAATAACTGGTGCTGGTATCTCCGCTACAATACCAAAAACTATCTCGAACTGGTAAGTCACATTAAAGAAAGCCTTTGGCGCGCAGATCTAACCTACCGTCGGTGTAGGAGGACATGTTAATGACCAGTGATCTCCGTGACCGTGAAGACTACCTCGGTATGAACTTCAACACACTGCAAGCACTCCGACACTTGGCTGCAAAACTCATCCCCATTCCCGCCATCCTTCGCAATACGATATCTATAATTACTGCCCTTCAAACTATGAACAACAGCTTACCGGGGCCGCATGATGAACAAAGGGTTGCGGAGACATCATATCAATTAAAGGCTTGCTCTTCACGGCTTGAAGGCTACATTTCTGCCACAGATGTTCTGCAACAGCGCATTGAAAACATGACAAAATTTGTTAGTGTTATGGAATCAAATCTACTGTTTGAATTTACTGATCTACGGCGTAGCTCGCAGATGGCTTGAATCTACAGAATCAAGACATCTCGGCCGAAATTAATAACCATCTGCTTACGTTGACAAAAGACACTGTTGACGACAGTGCAACCGTCAGAATTATCACGCTTGTCACTTTGACATATCTACCTGCAAGCTTTATAACAGTACGTACCAATTCAAGAGGTCAATTCACGATCCTAATTCAACTCTCAAAAGGGACTTTTTGGCATGAACTTCTTCAGTTTCAATTCTAACACAAGAACACTCCTCATCTCCAAAAGTTTCTGGATCTACGTTGCTGTCACCATCCCTTTGACATTCCTAACCTTAGGATACTGGAAATATGGATCGTGGCATCAAAAGAAACAACGCTTGAAAGATTTCGCGGCTCTGCGTACCGCGTAAGGCCGCACATCTAAGATCCCTTGCTGCAGATCTTCCTCCTCTCGAGACATCCATTACAATGAGAGACAATAACGAAAACGCTCGAATCTGACTCTAGCACAGCAATTCCGTCGTCATCTTTTGTGAGTCGGCCTTTCAGCCTGCCGACGGAAGATGGTGAAGAAGCATCGACATTAGGTAGCAATTTCAAATTAGTCAACCAGCCATTTGACGAGACCAATATCAAGGATTCATCTTCTGTGTCCAAACAGCGGTAGCCGACACCTGCCACGATATCGTTCACTGGCTGGCTCAATCTGATGGTTTCGAATTTGGTTTCGTTTTTACCGATCACGTACATCCGGTTGGGCCGTTCGAAGGCAGAGAAGTAGGTGGAGAGAGGGAAAAGCGTGTCCTGACCGTTATTATTTCCAGGCTATTCAAAATTAACTTAACGTCAAAAAATGAAGATGATTATTGGAACGAACCGTTTCTCGACGAGTGGTGACTTTCGAAAGCTGTTTGGCATTCGTTGCATTCCACACGTACCAGTAGTTCTCCCATCCATTCCTCGAAAATGACCAACCGTAAATGCGTTTTCCGTCAGGGCTAAAAGAGGCACCGCTCTTATGCAGCTGACCCGCAATTTCTAGTTTCTGTAGCCTATCATTCGGTCAGTACGGCAAGTTTTGTACATCTGTAACCGATCGGGAGTTACCCAAGGTTTGATGAATAGGAATATAATTCGGCATCCAACATGAAAAGTACATCACCAAGACTCGACACAGCCATTTCCACAGCATCTGTTGCAGCGGCCTGGACAGACTTGGATTGATTCCGTTCAACCAAAGGCACCTCCTCCGGTTTCCCGGAGCTTATGTGGTCCCGCATGTCATATCTATATAGATGGATCTATAATAGTTAGTGGCTAGGCAACTTGCGGCGGCTAGTCGGGAAGACTGGGCTGCAGTAGACGTGCAACGTCCTGAAAATTTGTAGAAACAGTTCTTTGAAGCCCAAAAATAGGCTCTAAGCAAGGATAAAACTCAACAGAATTGGGAGGTGCAATCAGAGCGGACACGAAGCAGAGGGCTTACTTTTTTTATTCTACTTCTCTGGTCCTTAGCTCTTAAGAGAACATAAGAATCAGAGAGGCAGACATAATTCCATTCGTACCCCTCGTCAGGACAAGCAATCTCCGTAACGTCCGGGGCATGAATCATAGGCTGAGTTATCAATTTTGGACGTGTTTCAACCCAATTCATATCCTTCCTCAGGCAGTGGAGTTCAGCCAGCTTTTTCGATACGAATGCGACGTGGCAACTCGACGGGCAAATTGTCGTTTTGAAGGTATTGAGGGGTGCTTTGAGTTTCATGAACACAGCAGTTTCCGTAATTTCATTAGAAGGCCTTGACGAGGTATCAGATAGTCTAGACCCGCTCGTTGTCGGGTTTGACGGAGAATTCGGAGAGCTACAATGCCCATCCGTAGGTTGCGAAGTCTCTCGGATAGACTGAGTCGAGGAAGGTTGAGTATTTTCAGGGGAGGATACAGAAGGCACTATTTCGATGCCGTAATCTTCCTCTGCTGGCACCCAACTACAAATTGCATCGAAATTATCAGTCTTCTCGGAACAAACCGCATCCAAACGATTCAGAGACTCAAAAGCTTTCGGTCGCGCTTTAGCATCCACCACTAGGGTACTGAAGATGAGGTCCAGAGTGTCATTGACCCAGGGTGTCTTGCCGACATTGTCCATCTTGAGGCCCTTCAGCCACTCCGCTACCTTCGGTTTGATAATAAATTTAGATTTATCAATCGAGTCAATGGTGTAGAAGTAGTCGGTTTTCGTGTCTTCCAAAACTGGCCCGTCAAGAGTCTTCGCTAGTTGTGATATATGTTTTGGCCCACCTACAGCAAAGGCGAGAACGAATGCCAAAATGCAACCGAAAGACCACATGTCGCTTTCCCTACCAACAACCCGTTCTTGGCTGAACTGAACTTCCGGGGCTTGGAATGGTCCAGGCGCCCGACCAGCTCTTGTGAATGAGAACTGCCTAAGAAAATCGCCAGGCAGCAAACCTGAAACCTTAGGGGTTGTAGCCGAAGGTTCCTTGATCCTTGAAGTTCCAAAGTCATGGATCTTCCAACGACCAACAACCGTTGCGCCCCACTTCACCAAAATATTCTCTGGTTTAAGATCCAAGTGTGCGCAAGCAACTTTTTGCCCTCCTCTCATTCTCAGTCCATCATGGAGAAAGTTGAGCGCAGCAGCAAGACCCAGGGACTCCTTTAGCAATGCGATTGGTGTAAATCGCCTTCGGCGGGCTTGAAAGTCTGGATATGACCCTTTGAAAAATTTGTAAAGGTCAAGGTCTGCTAACGGTGATATTATAATGAAGTTTGAATCATGCGCAAATGCGGTATAGCTCAGCATGATATTCGTATTTCGATCCAGACATTGCTTGAATGCTTTCAGGTTCCTGTGCTCTGCCATGAATCTTGAAGGGTCTGTGTCGCTGTGTACAATGCGTTTGACGGCGACGTATTGCTCCTGTTGAGTGTGAGAAAGAAAGCCGTTAGTTTTATGCAGTTATGGACGTACCTCCGGGTTCAAATGGCCCACCTTCCAGAAGAAATATTTGCGTGCAATCGCTTCCTTCGTTACCTTGCCGGAAGAACCCTCCCCAATTTCTTCCGAATCGAACAATGGCAGTCGCTGGTTCTTTGAGTACGAGACATAATCAATCTCGTCTTGGTTATCCTCATCATCTTCCTTCAGAGGGACAGGAATAAAGATATATTGATCCTGCTCGAAGGATGATTGAAGCCTTTGGTTTTGGAGGAAGTCCGTGTTGGATAATGGCAGGTCTTGGTCAGATCGGCCATCTGGCTTCAGAAACAATTTTCCAAAGTCTTCCCATCCGTCCCAGTGGATCCAGACCAATGTCGACAAAACTTTCAGGAACCCTAATCGCGCTCGATGTTGCAGATCTTGTTTGCCCCACTCCAGCTCCGACGAGAGTTGCCCAATACGCCAAGGAGTCCATATCTTTTCCACATCTTCTTCGCAGACAAACTGGAGGTGCCCCTTTGTGTCTTTGTTGGGCTTATTTTTGCTCGCCTCCCACAGAGCGTCCCTAATCTCTTGGATAACCCCTTCTCTCTGTGCCTGCGAATTCTTTCCCGTTTTGTGCCTCCACCAAACCATTTGAAACGCCCCTTATCAATCCAGGCCCGATAGCCTGGCCGGTGTCTGCAAAAAGCCAAATACAATCCTTCTTGGGACTTGCTCACGCTGAGAGCAAGTACGCTGTGGCCAAGGTCATAATCGCCGCAGCCAATACATGTGTCTGTGGGGCTGCTATTCGCGGATTGCGAGGGTATCAAACAGAGGCCGGAAGGTAGCTAGCCGTTGTGATCGCACGAGAGCCCTCGACGGCGTGGGTTCGTTGTCCGAAGGGCAGGCTGCACGGTCCGGGCTAAGGAAGGTTAGGGCAAGAAACAGAGCCTGTGTTATATGAACTTGGCATACCTGGAAAAGCTCTAGCAAATAAGGGATCTGTAGTTGTGATCATCAGCATTGCTCCTGTGCGGTTTGAAGCGCAAGTTGAGATCAGGTTCTCGAGAAGGCTGAGCTCGTGGAGCTACGGAAAGCCAGAAGAACGGGATGGGTCAGGCTTCTGGCTTTGCGCTTGGTCTTGGTCTTGCTGCTTCCCCGCATCTCCCCAAATCTTTTTTTTTTAAAAAATTCGCATAAGACCCTGATTTTCAGGGCCAACAGCCTAAACTTTAGCGGTTGCAAGCCTACAATTATAGCGTTGAATCACTAACTTTACAAGGCACCCATGTTCGACGCTTGGAGACCAAGCGTTAAGCCCCTGGCTGGTTGGTCATAGATACGCTCGGTACCCTATGAGGGTTGCTGCTCCCCCTCCCCGCCCTACCACCGGGTACCGAACCATCCCCACGAACAATCTGCTTCCTCTTTCCAGCCCAACCAGTCGATTTGAGCAAGGATCGCATTTATTCCCTTACATACAGCACTGAAACGTCCACATGTCAGAGCCTACTTGAACATCAACCTAGGCCGCTATCCCCACAATCATATTATGCTCTCCATTTTGTTAGGGCCAAGGCCGCAGCTTAGAGGCAGCAAATTCCTGGGATATTCCAGTCATGCGGCTTCCCGAGCTAATGCTTGCACCCCCATCTCTATTGCAGAGACGAGCCCGTAACGCCCTCTGCATCTCCGTCCCAACGTGCTTGTGGTGTGGCGTGCATCAAATGATCATGCACTGCCTCGGAGCCGCCGCCGAGGCGGAGCCATGAGGCAGCGTGCGTGCTGCGCATCTGGGGCTGCCGTCTTGCATCGGCTCCAATGTCACCCGAGACTGAATGAGAGGGCTTAACCTGGCTGGTCATCAGTCATGAGCTGAGAATTTACAATGCGTCTTAAACCACTCTTTTAAGTTACCTTATAGTATTGATATGATCCGTTGTGCTCTCTGGGAGGAGGGCTTTTCGAGTGGAGAAATGTCGCCATCGCTGGGCTCCCCACGCGGGACAACATGGTTGCAACGTCGTCGCGACCATTGCTTTGTGGAGATTGAACGCCATTTTCACACGCGTCCTGCACCTGTTGTTTTCCGTGCCATCCTGCTGCCCACCCTGTTGGCAAATCCAGGCTGGAATTTGCCGATCCATTTATGCGGCTGGAACGCAGATACAATATAACTGGTGGAGCCTCAGGTACGTCTACTTTTCCTGCTAACAAACTGGGCGAGAGGTCTCCGAGTGGGAGCAGTCTTCTCCGTGGGGGGGTGGAGTTGCTCTTTCCTGCAAAGATCCGAAATCGATCAAACACATTCATATTTGTACCCAATCTTTCCTTGTGCATATGGTACATGTGGCCGTCGGCAGTGGCAGCCGAAAAAGTTTGTCAACGATAGCATGGCTGTCGTCCTTAATTGAAGCAGCAGCGCTGCTCAGAAGTGTGCTCTGTCTGGTGCGTCCTCAATTTGGTAACAATTGTTCTACTTGGAGATCTTGCGCAAGAAACTATGGCCGACGCTCAAATTCTCAGCAATGGCAGAAACGAAATGACAAATGGTTGCAATGGCCATGCAAAACAGAATCTCGATCGGGCAACAGAGGTCGATGATGTAAGTATCGAGTATTTTTTCCAACCATTCAGCAGCTTTTCATGCCAAGTTTTATCATGCCAAGTTTTCTGTCCAAAACTCTTGTCTGCTACCAAGCTATTCATCACTGACTTCCAGGCTAGCTCCTGACTTCTGTAAAATCTCTTATCATCCCATTCATCGCTCGTGCGGATCACGAAGACAGCCTCTCACTCGGAGGTGATGGCGGGGTGTCTCCTCTTGTCGAAAGATACAAGCCACAAGAACTGACGAATCTGCTGGGGTTCCAATTACCCCAAGAAGGAAAAGGCAAAGATGGCCTCCTTAGCATTGTGGAACGTATACTTCACTACAGCGTGAATACGTGGGATCGGGGATTTATGCATAAATTGTCAGCCTCCACAAATGCCGTCGGATTGGTGTCCGAACTAGTTCTGAGCGTCCTGAACGCGAATGTAATTTCATTCCTATCCCAACCTCCGAGTTCAGATTGAAGCTGATCGAGCTCTGTCTCAGTTACATGTCTATGAAGTCTCTCCAGTGTTGACCACGATCGAAAAGAAGACTGGCCGCGCTTTGGCGTTGCTCTTCAACCTTGTGGGCCCGTATGCTGGAGGCTTAACTATGCCAGGTGGTTCAGCCTCCAACACTACTGCGCTAGTTATCGCGCGCAACGAACTCTTTCCGAAAACAAAAAGTGAAGGATATGGTGGGAAGAAGTTTGTCTTATTTGCAAGTGCACATGGTCACTATTCGCTGGAAAAAGCCGCGCAGGTATGCGGGCTGGGAAGTTCAAATGCCTGGCTTGTCCCTGTAGACTCTCACTGCCGCATGATCGCCTCCGAGCTCGAGAGGCTGATACGGAAAGCGCGAGAGGAAGGCTTTACCCCTTTCTTTGTGAGTGCCTCGGCTGGCACTACAGTTATGGGAGCGTTTGATCCTTTCCTAGAGATTGCAAAGATATGCCGGAGAGAAAAGCTCTGGTTCCATATCGATGCTTCTTGGGGCGGACCTGTGGTATTCTCCGCCAAGCAGAAGCATAAGTTGCGTGGATCCGAGTTTGCGGACAGTGTGACGATCAATCCACACAAAATGATGGGAGTACCTTTGACATGTTCCTTCTTGCTCGGCGCGGATCTCAGAAGGTTTTGGCGCGCCAATACTCTACCGGCAGGGTATCTATTTCACGAGAACAATGGAGAGGATGGCGGTACTTTCGAAACTGGTATTGCGAACGGTTGTAACGGAGAAACTGACTTTGGCATTGATTGCTGGGATTTAGCGGACCTTACCCTCCAGTGTGGTCGTAGAGGCGACGCTCTCAAACTAGCTCTTGGATGGATCTATTACGGGAGCTCTGGTTACGGAGCCCAAATCGATAGGGCGTTCGACACAGCGGCACACTTCGCTTCCCTCGTCGCTACCAATGGTGACCTTGAGCTTCTTAGTGAGAACCCGCCCCCTTGCTTGCAAGTATGCTTCTATTTCGCTCCTGGCGGTCACGCCGGCGAGGATGAGTCCGTGAACACCAGAAGAACAAAACAAATTGCAAGGGAATTAGTAAAGCAAGGCTTCATGGTTGACTTTGCGCCTGGAGAGAGGGGGCTTTTCTTCAGGGCAGTTGTTCATCTTGTCACGACTGGTGCTACTGTGGAGGCTTTAGTAAAAGCCGTTGTGCATATAGGGAAGAAGATCAATTTCACGGAATCTTAGATAAAGTAGGATGATAAAATGAGAATGTGACAGCTACAGCATTGCGTTGTTCTTCAGCATTAGACCGTTCCATGTCCATTATCACCTGGCTTTGAAGGATAATTGGTGTGATTTGAGAGGGCAAAAGGTCTTGCCTTCCAAGTCTAAGGCATCGGTTAAATCTTTAGGAAGTTTGATCTGCTAAAAGCTTATCATAAATGAGAGAAGCTCCAAGCCTGCACGTGACATAAAATACCATGGGAATGTGCACCTGTTGTTTTGTGTACGAACGGGTAATAACCGCATGGACAACATAGCTCCACAAAAGGCTATATGAGAAGAAAATAGTCTCTTCTTATTACTAGCACATATATAGGCGAACACAATTAATGCTTGAGGTCACATGAATGACAACCCGTTGACTTCAAGGCACGTGGTCTATTCATAGGCAACGCCGCAACACTAACGCACACTTGTGGGCGCTGTCCCGTGCAGCCATGTCATCAATGTTGAATATAGGGACCTTCAAGGAAGAGAAGTTCACCCTTTGGTGCGGTAGCCTTACTTTGGTGGCGTTTGACCTCAAAATCTTGTACCAGTGATCAACAACGGTCTTCTTCGGAGGCTTGCCCATCTACTGTAACAAGGAGAAATCCCTAAATGTATTGATTGGCACGAAAGACCTCGAGCATCTCGACTGGGTTATCATCAATGTTCCCTACAAAGTGGCCTATGAGCAGAGACACTTCCTAATTCTCTTGATTCCCGAGCTCTGCATCTATTCGTGGCGGTTTAAAGTATAAATGTATACGGTCATTAGGGTATACCAGTTAATTGAGGGTCAGAAGTGGAGAGAAGAGACTATGTTGAGATATTTGTGTCCAGAAATTGGGGTTTAAATGACAACAATGACTGACGTGATGGCAACAATCCAACCAGGGAACACCTCCCCTTCACACTCTTTCCTCAGCACAGTACACATCACAACAAGACGTTTAATTTTTTTATCTTTTTCTTACGAGAGGAGAGGGCCTACCGCTGATGGAGAGATGAAGGAACAGAGTCCAAAAAATACTTGGTCGTGAAGATGAGCAGTGTGTCAAATGAGTAGAGTAGAGTAGAGTAGTGGGTCCTACTCATACTCTACTCAACCAATTATAGCGCTACTCATACTCTACTCATACTCTACTCATACTCTACTCAAGCTACTCATGAGTAGTGTGAGTAGTGTGAGTAGGTACCCACGTGACGGTTACACGTGACAGGCTAGCCTAATTAGGTAGCCTCCCATCTAGCGCCGCTCTAGTACCAAGTTTCTATCCAATTAGGCAATGGCATTGCTTAGTAAGCGAGCCAAAGGTCAGGGGGAAATCAAGATTCTAAAAAGTATAACTAGTTTATTATTATAGAAAATTAATATTTAGCTAGTCTTATATAAGCCATAGCTTACCTTTACTGGGGCTACTTAATAAATATCTTTATTATCTAATTATTATTAAATAAATCTTAATTTATTATTATCACGTGACGGCTACTTATTACCACTCATACTACTCTACTCAAATTTTTAGGACATTACACTACTCACATTCTACTCACGCTACTCATGAATATTAATGAGTAGTATGAGTAGCATGAGTAGTTCTTTGACACACTGAAGATGAGTCGCTCGTCTCGATAGATGTGGAACAAGAATTTCTATTGAGACATTTATGCATGAGATATTAGGGGCAATTCCCTGCTCACGGCATAACACCTGTTATGTTTCACTTCAGCGGTTTCTATCCCAAAGCAAAAACGCGGCACCTTGTATCTCGAACTACAAAGCCGCCGCTTCCACCCCAGACTTGCTTCCTCAAGAAATCATGGCTCCATTCTCTTCCCGAGTATTCACCGATCAGAACCCTGGTTTAGAATTGCTATCTGGAAACTGAGCTGCTCTCCGGGGAACCGATCCTTATGTCAAGTATCACGAACCTTACCCACTGCATCGATTAAGTTATACACAACGTGGTCTAGTACATCGGGAATCACGGGATCTTTGACAATTCAATAGCACTCTCAATTTTTGAAAATTTTCTAGGCCCATGTACCCCCCTCCTCATTTCCAAGCCTCAGTCACATGGCCAGAAAGAAAACTATTCTCCTCTTTCTTACATGGTGTCTTCTCGCATGGCCATTGGCATGACCAATTTGCCTTTGCGGACTTCGATCAGTGATGAGGCGGTGACTGCTTTCCCTTTTATTCATATAGTATTCTTACAGCTATGTCGTTGCAATGCCGTTGGACTGACTATCATATAGAAGGGTCTTGCTACCAAACATTTCATTGTCGTCACTCGCAGAATCAATTCAATGCAGAAGAGGGATTTCGAGAAGAACGTGGTTCGAAGAAATCCCTTACGGAGTTCCAAATAGATACTTTAATTGAATAATGTGAAAGTTCGCCGAATGGGATGACTGCACGATCTGACGAGGACTCTACGTTGATTATTTTGTCATGGGCGGGTATTTCCGACGCGTTGAAGTGGAATTTATATCTCCCTTCAAAGTGAACCTTGTATTGTCCCTTAGTCAACGAATACACCCTGGATGAATGCTCTTAACTGTAGTATGTGAAAAGTCACGTTGAGTATGAGAGGTATTCCATATACAAAATTGAGTACTTCGTTTAATTCATAGCATTTCCAACAAGTGCTGCTTCCATTAACCAATTAAATATGGATGTGACTCGCTCACAAGACCTCCCATATAGATAAACCAAACTATCTTCGAAGCCCCACGGAACCCAAGACGGGTTCTTCAAGGATTAAAAAGCAGAGAACTGGGTTTGCCCGAAGCTTTAACACACTAATCATACGCCACCAGCACCGAACTATCCGACATTCCGCCCTTTGTCGACTCATTTAACTGACTATCCTGATATTTTTAATATATTTGCATTATTATAAATTGCCAGCCTTACGACCTCGGTTTCCCCTCTATCGGAGGCAGTGCAGGATAGAGACTGTCAAGAACCCATTAATTGTCAATAGATCTTTTGTTGTCATTCTTCTTATAGAAATTCAACCTCAGATGTGGATGCCCTTAGGTGTGAATTCAAAGTTCAAACTGTTATACTACCGGAATGTCGACCCTTCCTAGCCGCTCAAATCGCCAACTTTTAACAAGAGTTCGAAGGCTTCCCCCTGCTGTCTTGACTAACAAGACGCAACGCTAGGCACATTGCTGCAATTACCATATGTCTTACCGCCAGTGACGACGACATTCGACCACGTCCAGCTAGAACAGGCGCCGCTGCCGCAAGCGACCACAACGTTATACCCGGTGCTTGCGACGGCGCCTGACCCCGCGATGTCTTGGACCACCAGGCCGGTGATGGGGATGCCGCTTGACGGGGTGCCGCCGTCGAGGTCGCCGCCGCTGTAGTTCTGCTCGATCAGGACGCCGTACCTATAGTTGCAAGTTTGTATCAGCACCAAGTCACAAATTCGCGCCTGCGTCGGGTGTTTGGGGAAGGGGGGTTAGCATACTTTGAGATGGAGGCCAGCGTGATTGATTTGTAAGTCACGCTCTTGATAGTGCCTGTGTCGCCCTCAATAGCCTTGATCCGGATTCCTGCGCGGCACGTAAGTCGGATGATTATGGACCTTCTTTTCAAATTGGAGATTTATATGTCATTTCCCCTTCTCTTTAAGGACAACAGCAGGGGGTGATCCAAGGGCGTACCGTTCACCGAGTTCTTAACCTCGGAATTGCTGAATGTGACGGTGTCAACTGTGTTGTCGGAACGGCCACCGACGGAGCCGATAGATAGGCCATGTCCGCCAGAGCAGACACCGTTGGTAAATGTAATGTCCTAAGGAACTCGTCAGTGATCCTTTAGTAAAGAATCCGTTAAGGTGAGTCAACAGGTGACTGCTCACCGTTCCAGAATTGACCGCAACACAATCGTCTTGATTATACACATTAGCCCCAGAAATAGCAACCTGAGAACTCGAGCCAATGTCGAAGCCGTCCGTATTCTTGCCACCAGCAGTATCGCCAGCCGAATTATCAATAGTCATGCTAGTGATAGTTAAGCCGTTGCAGCCATCAATGCTCACGGCCTGGAGAGGTGTGTTTTGGATGTGCAGGTTGGTGATGGTGGAGTCAGTTAGGTCGTGGGCATAGAAGAACTTGGGCTTGGTCTTGCCACCACTGCCACCGCTGCCGTCCCACCAGCGCGCGCCGTCGGGGTTGAGGTACGCCCCTGAGGCGCCCGAGATCTGGATACCGGTGCCTTTGATCTGCAGCAGTGGCCCAGCCCATTCCTCGTAACCCCAGGTCGTCTGTCCTTCGAAGATGATCTATGAGGGTCTCTTCAGTGTCTTGTTCTGTTCGGATCCGGAGATCACTTGATAATGAGATGAGATAAGAACAAGGTTACATGCAACTCACGGCAGTATTATCGTTCAGGCTGGACAGGTCCAAGGTCGTGCCGGACGGTACAGCCACGTTAGAGAGGATAATGGTCGAGCATGATGCCTGCGACTTACTGGCCGACGACGCGCCGTTGGAGCCCGAGAAAGTGCAAGTCGTGGCCCTCTTCGCAATTGCGGCAGGGTCAGGCGGTGGAGTCATGGCGGGGACGCGCTGGGCTACTGGAGAAGCGAACACCAACCCCCCGAAGGCAGCGAGCAGAGCACAAGTGAGAAGCATGACGGCGGAAGAGTACTAGCAGTGCTGAGTACTCGCAAGTCCTGTGTCTTTTCGGGGTGGAAAACCCAAATTGATTGAGGATCTTCTTCCATTATATGTCCAATGAGATAATTCTACCGTATATATCTGTACACCGACTGTCTAGCATTGGTGGACAATCGTCTTCCATTTCGTGTTCGAAGAGATGGTTCTACCTTAGATGTCTGTGCCCCGACAGTCTAGCATTGGTGGACAGAGGATACCTGTCGTTGCCCTTATGAAGGACGGGAACCCGAAATCCTCCAATTGAGTCTGCACTGTGCAATTTCTCCATGGATCGCGATCCGCCAATCCAGGGGCTGCGCCACGGCCTGGCTAGAGCAGCTTGATCTGGTTCCAGTCAGGCACTCAAGCCCCAAATCGCAGCGGACCACGCTAAGCGAAACTGATCTCGACAGTTCATCCATTACCTGGGAGGTTTCGAGCCAAGCAATAAGGTTGTTTAAACTCAAGAACTCAAAAAATAGCCTCAAAGCTTGGCCAAGACGTGCAGACATAATTCGCTCCAACAAACGCTGCATGCTAAGAACCCCAGTGTTTGTGTTGATGGAAGGGAAGAAGGCGGAAAAATTATAGAAGATAGATTAAATTGGAAAATCTTAGGGCCGGGAGCCGGTTCCGAGGTGTGGAGCTTTCGGGAAGAGTGTTGACTTCGCACAGCGGGGGCAAGCGCCTATACCTACAACAAGCCTAGCTACTATCCTCCCCTTTATTAGAGCCTACATGGGAGCTAGAGTTGAACCCCTCAATCCTCCCCAAATCTTCGCCGAAAGAAGGCCTCGATTGCGTAATAGGGGGCGTGAAAAGGCCCCCCTGCATCCAAGTAGTTGGCCCTCAATTCTAAAAATAGGCTTGGCTTCACAAACCCCGTTACAATATCACTTGTCATTGTAATGTGCGGTTTTGCTTGGGGTTTTTGTCCTTTTTACTGCCAGGGCCTTTCCTGCCGTCATCTTCTCAATCCCAATCCACACCTCAGCAGACAACTAACATCAAAGAAGAGAGTGATGAAACAGAGTTGATCTAGTAATGAGATCATAGCTTACCATGGAACGCAGATCAGCCCAGCCTCGGCTTCCTGTGCTTTGTCGGAGGACACCGTGAAGGGACTTTCTCAACAATCTGGGTAGGAGGTCGAGGCGAGTTGATATAGGTCCTTTAGCGACTCTGCCCCTGTAAGTACAGGGGACTTCTAAAGGTGTAGTACCCCTTGTTTGTAGTTTACAGCGTACTTACAGGAGAGTAGCCTGGAGATATAGGGGGCTTTAGTGGATGAGCGTGGTAGAGAGTGGCCTGAAAGTGGACTTGCGGTACAAATGCCCTGTAATCCCGTCACTTTATGCCGCAATCTTCGTTTATAATATGTTCCACTAATACAGGAAGTTCTTCTACAAGGCAATCACTGCCTTGAAGAAATGCATATAAGAGAAAGTAAAGGCAAAACCAATTTTCTATCCCAAAAACGTGAGGAGCTGTACTGCGCGACACTACGATTGTTGGAAACAGTAAGTTTGAGTACATCACAAAGGACAGGAGATGCGCCCTCGGGGACCATATCGTTGTTCAGAAACTACTTGTTGTCATTCCCAACTCCTTTAATTCCTACTTATAAAGTAAACATTTCGACAATGTTCTGCAAAAGGAAGCTATGTGAATAAACCTATAGCGAGTATAGTTTCATCTAATCAGGGTCAAACAGTGTGTCAAATAAATAGAGTAAAATAGAATAATGGCCGTTACTCATATTCTATTCAAGTATAAACCCCGTTACTCATCACTTCTTTATATTGAGCTACGTTCGGACCACCCTTAACCGGTTGGCTCCCGGAACTCCTGGAAAAAAAACTGGTCACGTGAGGAATACCAGAATCGCCCCCTTCTAGGGAATCGCGTATCGGAACGCGATTACGTCTAAATCCTTAGAGCTTAGCTTAGGATTATAGAGAGAATACTCGAGTACCTTTCTCTATATTTTAGTAGTTCTGAGATATAAGGGGCTTTTATTATAATTTTTTAAAGCTCGGGGGAAAATCTAAAGCTAGCGGTTCCGTAGAAGGTACTAAGAAAAGAAATCCTGACCTTATATTACTTTTCTCTCTTTCTTCTCTTTATTACTATGGATCCTCCCCGCTTTTATACTTCCTATAGGTAAAACCGGCCTGCTTCTGACTTTATTATAGAGCGGGCTAAGCCATATAAAACTTGCTCTTACTATCGAGTTTGTATTCTTTCCCTTTTCTGGCTTAATTAACTAGTTAATAGGCCCGAAATACTACTAATTATACCTAGTAGTGCCCTGCCTTGCAAGAACTCGATCCGAATGCCCTCCCTATCTCCCGGCAATAATAACGGTCGATTACGGACGTCTCTGCGGACGAGCCAGCCCCACGGTACTAGTAACGGATCCGTTAACCGTCCGTTGCGGCCCCAGTTCATATTATAGAGGACCCTCCTGCCGACCTACCTACTATACGGCCTCCTGCCTTCCTCTCCCGCTTCCGGCCAGCTCCCGTATATATAACTAGTCTGCTTACAGGTTGCTATATAGCTTACAGAGCCCTTTATTTTGGCTATACGGACGATCGCTTTAAGGCCTATTACAAGAAGGGCAATATAATACTTCCTCTAATCCGTAAGCCTTCTCTATACTTCTCTTACCTCTTTACGGGCAATAACCCGCTCTATCGGGCCTTCCGGACGAATATCCGGGTATATAATTATACTTTTGCCTTTATATTAATTAGTTATAAGAAAGATATCCGGATTGACTTCTCCCGTAAGATCTAGTACTTTCAGATCTATAGCAAGCTCTTCCACTTCCAAGGCCTACTATAGCCCGCTTTATATACCGAACCCTTCTTTATATAGCTCTTCTTTTATAATCCGCTCTTTATAACTAATATACGGGCTACTAACTTCCTTTACTTAGATTATATAGTTCTTTTATAGCTTATAAATATACTTACGGATTATAATCCGTTTATTATAGTCTATAAAATAGCCTACAAGCGTCTTACGAGCTAGTAAACCGATTTCCGGATCTTACTTAACTCATAAATATACTTAATTCTTGAGTCGGGTACTAATTATTATTATAAGAACCTCCTAATAAGTAATAAGGTTATAGCCCTTATCCCGGACGAGTATACGGATATAAGCCGCCATAATCTAGTACTTATGGTCTATAAGGCAGGCTACAAGTATCCGCAAATATATATAGTTAATATTATATATATAGTATATATACCGCTCTACTATGTCTTACTCTTCTTATACGGTGACCCGGGCTAGTACTATGGTTTGCAGTTATAGGACCGTAATAGGACCTATTAGCGGATATAGCTAGAATAGTAGGTCTTTTACTAGTACTACCTCTATATTCATCCGGCCTTCTTCCTGCTCTTTTATACTAGCCGCCTCTTTTAGTAGTATATTATTAATATATATATTACCTATAAGACTACCTCGCTTAACTGGCTCTGCTTATACTAGTAGAATATCCGTACGGACATATATATAAGACTTATAGATACTCTAATTCATAAGGATATCCATATAGGCAATATTAGCTATTACTTTATCCTCTTATTAAGCTTTACAGGCAGTAATTGCTTTATATAATAGCTCTTTCAAGACTCAATAGCTATTATATAATACTTTAGTAAGCCAAGCTTTTTTATTACCTTTATAGCTAATCTGTACTAGCCTGAGATTATAGATTACTTCTTAAACAGGCAGTAAGCTATTAATCGTCCGGATCTCCTTTACCAGGTCTTTATATTAAAGGTAAGAGAGCTACTTACGGACCTAAAGAATTACCTTTTTGGACTATATATAGGCCATATATATATGATTGAGTACCAGAAGCATAGCCTCCCGTATATATACCTGCTCTTATTTCTTAGGAGGAAAGCCGTCTTCTTAACCCCTGATTTAGTTAATAAAGTTATTTATATTAAGCTTCCAGACCTGTTATAGGATCCTATAGGCGAACTTATAACCATAGTAACTAGTCAGATATCTTACGGACTATATGGCCTCGAAGATAATCCGAAAGCCCTATATATAGTTCATAAAACGCTTATAGCCCCGCTCATATACTAGAAGAGGTTCCCTAAAACGTTTATGGCTATAATAATTATCTGCAAGAATAGGTATTCCGAGTACCGGTACCGGGATAATAGCCATATATTTATGGTCTATAAACCAGGCTTTCTAGGCCAGGAAATTATCCGTAATAACTACTAGGTCATTCTATATAACCTATACTTCCTCCAGAAGTTCCGCTCCTATATTAATATCAAGATTTGCGCTTTTATATAAGTAATCAAGTATATCTATAAGTATGTCTATAAAGAAACGGACCATATAACTATTATAGTCTCAGGAACAGATAATAAGATTACCCAATACCTTTAAGCTCGGTATATAGGCCCTATAGAGGCTTTCTGGTACCTGTTTAAGTATCTAATATACCAGGAGTTCCCCCCGATCTAGTACTTGGTAATCTACTTCCCTAGGCAGTATACGGTCTGCTTTACGGATAACCTCTTACCCGAGCAAATCGCAAACCGGGCTATAAATACCCGTTTAACCTTAATAGCTTTCTTTAAATATAATATAATATATGAGGACAGCCACTAGTACCTCTACTATAAGTTCCTATAGCACTTTATATAGGTTACCAAGACCCGGATATAGAAGTACCGCAAGTAAGGGTATAGTATTAGCCATATTTACTACTATAGCCTAGTTTCGGGCAAGCAGTTCTACTTATAGCTCTTACTAATAGTTATATACGATCTGCGGTCCTTTAATAAGCTCTACTTAGTTAAGGGTATCTGTTATCCTATATACTATACTACCTGTATTGCCTGCGGCTTGGTAGAGAATAATCAGGAGTAGTTCTAGTACTTTAACGAGGCTATTTTATTAATAACCGGCTATAGTTTACAGATACTCTTTCTTATAGGTATCCGCCAGTAGCTAATTACGGATAAGCAAGTAATCTGGGACCGGTATAAGAAGCATTTCTGTAATAACTTGGCCTATAAGCTAGCCTATAACCCGTTAATTAATTTCCCGCTGCCCTTGGTTAATTCTTACTATAATTACGGCCTCTTTTTGCTTAGTCTCGGCCTTACGGATCTCTAGCAAATACTTATGGATATTACCCTACCTAAGAATACCTTTAACTAGACTATAAGCCACTATATGGCTAATCTACAGGTTAATTATACTTATAAGACGTTACTAGTAACCGTAATACAAGCCTAGCTAAATATAGACTAGTATTCTTACTTCCAGACGATTATGGTAGTAATTACGGACAATTCGCAGACTGCCCACTTCTACTTGCAAGGCCCGGGCGGGACCGGTAAGACGTTCCTTTATAAGACCCTCTATTACTATTACCATAGCCAGGGTAAGGTAGTCCTATATATAGTATTAACGGGTATTACGGCTCTCTTTTTCCCGGACAGATATATATCTCACTCCCAGTTCCGGATCCCGCTCGAGCTTAATAAGTCGTTTATAAGTACGATTACTAAGACGAGCCGGCTCGGGGCTCTCTTGCAATCTATAGACCTGATTATCTAGGACAAGGTACCCATATAGTACAAGTACTGCTTTAAGGTAGTATACTAGCTAATAGTCAATTTATAGTCGGTTGCGGACGATATTCTCTTTAGAGAAATACCCGTAATCCTCGGGAGGAACTTTGCCCAGATCTTACTAGTAGTCCTATACGGTTTACGGGCCAATACGGTACGGGCCTGCCTATAGCAGACATAAATCTGGCTATAGCTCTATTAGCTATTATTACGGATTAATATACGGGTCCGTAATAACCCGTCCGAGCAGGATTTTATAGACTGGATTAGTCATCTGCCATATAACCCGTCCTTAAATAGGCAGATTATACTCCCGCCTTTTATTCCGTATACCCAGTTAGTTACGGACCTAATTAATTATATCTACCTATAAGAGCGACTCTTGCGGGCCCTATATAACTACCGGGCCTTTAGCAGACGGGCAATCCTATTAACCCTGAATAATACGGTCCGTAAGCTTAACTAAATAATCCTGGATATACTTCCTGGCCAGGAACAGATATATTTCGTAGTAGATTCGGCTAATATAAACAAGGCAGATCCTGAGATTACAGAATTACCGCCAGAGATCTTATAAAGTATCTATTTACCGGGTCTACTCCTTTCCAAGCTATAACTCAAGATTGGTATACCCGTAATACTCTTGCGGAATCTCTGTCCGCAAGAAAGGCTTTATAACGGGTTACAGATATTGATTTATAGCTTTGGGAGGTTCTCGATTTATATACGGCTACTGGGTGGCGACTTTAACGGCTAATTACGGACGATTCTACGGATCAAGCTCCAGTTAACGGATCAGTAACTATCTTTTACGCTCTCCCGTAAGTAGTTTCTACTTGCTTTATCCTTTATAATAACTATTAATAAGTTACAGGGCCAGTTATTTGAGGCAGTAGGGGTGGATTTACGGTCGCCGGTCTTTTCTTACGGCCAGTTCTATATGGCAGCTTTACGGGTAATCTCACAAGCAGGGCTTTGTATTCTTTTACCCCCTGATATAAACCATATGAGTAATATAGTATACCCAGAAATATTACAAGGTCTTGCTTAGCTTTTGACTTACTTACGGGTAACTTTGTATACTTACGGGCTATTCTCCTTCTTATACCGTCCGTAAAGGCCTTTACCAAGTCATATACCCCCTTTAATTCCAACCCCACTCGGGACGAGTTTAGGGCAAAATTATTAATTGGCCCCGGAGCTTGCGTAGGGCCGCCAATTAATAATTTTAGCAAAGCGGCCCTAAACTTGTCTATCTTACATTTTCGCTATTTTCCGGAGAAAACTAATGCTATTACGTAAATGCATCTGTACGAGAATACCAAAACTTTGGCCCGCTCTATCCCTTCGTCCGGTAGAAACTGTCCATGCTAGCAGGGGGGCCTGGCTCAGGCGAAAACGTGTGCCTTTGCTTAGAAACCTATTAGTCATCTATCGCCTTTTCGCCCTGAGCCAGGCCCCCCTGCTAGCGTGGACAGTTTCTACCGGACGAAGGGATAGTTCAGGCTCCACTTTATAGGCTTTACAGGCTCCTTTTCACAGGCTTTACAGGCTCCATTTTATAGGCTTTACGGGCTCTACAAGCTCTATAGACTTTACAGGTTCCACAGGTTCCACAGGCTCCCTTTTACAAGGTTTATAGGCTAATTTACAGGCTTTACAGGCTCTGCAGGCTCCCAATAGACACCCTTCCTTTAAACCGGCTACGCTACTCCGGGTATAAGTCCTTTCGCCCAATTACAAGCTTCCCTTTTTACGAGAACGGATATCGACTTTATACTTGCGAAATCTGCCTTATACAAAAGCATGACTAATACCGTAAAGCTACGGGCGAGTTTATACAAGAAAGGCACGACCGGCGGGTCTTACGGGCGAAGAGAGCAAAGCTACGGGTACAAAAGCGTGGGATATGGGATCCTGTGGACTTGGAGAAGGCATTAGCAGAAGGAGAAGCCCAAAGGGAGGCTTGGGACGAGTAGAGGAAGTTCCAGGCTCGATTACAAGACGACGAATGGCAGTGGGATAAAGAGGAGAAGCAGTAGGAGATAGAGCAAGAGAGGAAATGGGAAGAGAACGATCCGGTAAGAGCTTGCAAATAGTAAGTAGCAGGGCTAATATATAGTAGTTTACGGACGAGTATAAGAGGGGGAAGCAGGAGCAGGAGCAAGAGCAGGAGCAGGAGCAAGAGCAGGAGGAAGCATAGTACTGGCTTACGGCTAGCTAATATTTAGAGATACAAAGGGAGGAAGGGCTTACGGATAAAGAGGATATACCTACGGATAAAGAAGAAGGACCTGCGAATAAAGAGGAGGAACTTGCGGACGAAGAGATATCTATAAATCAATTTACAGACGAGCCTATGGCCCGTAAGTAGGAAAACCTGTCCGTAAATACTTACTAACCCTTTCCCTTAGAATACTACTCTAGTTACAATCAAAAACGCCCCCCTTCTGAATTTGGATACTTCTTTACGTACTCTATATACCGAAAACGGAAGCAAAAGTCAAACCGTCGATGTGGGATTCAAAGAAAGGAGCAAGCAAGGATATCGAGACTTGAAAATAAGCCTACAAGAGACGAGCTTCAAAGACATATACAAGTACGTACTAGGGAATCGGGCGAGCAGGAGCTTAGAGAGGCAAGGGCAAGAGAATGCTACGGGTGTCTTATAAAAGACGATAGAAAACAGCCTTTAGAAGTTAATAATTATTTAAATAAAAGCCTTTAAAAGACTATATGCTTATATGTTACATTAGTACGAGCTTGCGAGCGTAATGTGGCTATAATCAAAGAAAAGGGAGGGGGAAAATTAAGAGAGAGCTTAATAAGTAAAAGTAAGGCTTAAAAGGGCCTATAAAAGGGGAGGGAGAGCTTTGCAAGTATAATTAAGGAGTATAGTAATTTATAAAAATAGAGAGAGCTTTATCTAATTAATCTCGAATCGAGATCAGGGCAAAATTAAAACCTGGCGGCCCTACGCAAGCTCCGGGGCCAGTTTTAATTTTAGCAAAGCGGCCCAGATCTCGTATTTTATTCATATATTACTCAAGTTATTCATGAATATTTATGAATAACTTGAATAATATACGTAATTATTATACGTGATATGGCTAGCCTAGTTAGGTAAGGCTCCCGGGGGGGGCCGCACCTAGTGCCATCTCACTACCTAATCAGGTAGTAGTAGCACTTAGTAAGTAAATTGAACCTTAGTAATACTTCAAGTTTATTATTATAGAAAATCAGTATTTAAGTGTCCTTATATAAGCTTGCTTAATAAGCACCTTATTTATTTTTTAAAATTAAAATATGTGTTAATTTATAATAATCCCGTGACTTACACGTGACTATTCATGATTATTCATGTTATTCATGAATAATTATTCTATTTTACTCAAGTTTCTTAAGCTGCTCGTTACTTATATTTTATTCAAGTTATCCATGAACATTCATGAATAACTTGAATAATCCTTTGACACACTGGGGTCAAACTATTGATCCATCTGCTTCCCTTGAAGTTGTGTGATATTCTCGGATTCTCTGGATGACAATAAGTTTAATATAAAATGGATTTTAGATCTCCCAACATGCTTCCAAGCCACAGTTTCTGGGTTTACACTCCTGAAATCCTGGAGTTGAGGACTGAACTTCATTATCCACCTCCTCTGCAAGTGAGCTCGAGGAGAGAAAGGAGTGTATAAAGATTACCACGCATCTTGAGCCCTAAAGCCGCAATATCAAAGGAACAATTCTGTCACACATTCACCGTGTGCAGCAGGAGAGGGCAGGAAACATAAGACTTGCCATTTGGCCCTCTGCACAAAGAGATAAAGAGCTAGTACCTTTCATTCGAGTCTGTTCCTTTACTTGTAAAAACTGTGCAATAGAATGGAGTCTCATTGTCAATGATAGATTTGTTGTCAGTTAAATCTTTGCTGGCACGCCCATCTTCCCTAGCCCCCGAACGTAGCGCAAATACCTCAGTCTTCAAACCTTGTGTAGAAAAGTATTCCCACTTACAGTCTCCTGCGAGACGCGACAACTTCAAAGCAAACACAGCCAGCCCAAAACCCCATATGTTTCCCCAACCAATCCTACACCAGGGCGACGACTGGGATTCCTCACGTAGCGCTTGAAACCTCTCTACAATTCGCTTTATATCTGCTCATCTCAGCTCCGGTAAAACGATTTGGCTCGCCTACTACGAATAAATTGATCAGCGGACTAGACTTAAAAATTTCGACCTCTCTTTAAGTAAGATTAGAGAGAGGTATATAAAGACGACCAATATCATTCATGCCCTCACCTTTCCTAAAACTACTTTTGAAAGACATGAACCATGTGGGAGAAGACTGAGGCTTCTTATTTGGTCTTGGTCTTTGGCAGAGGGGTATGCTATTTCTCGACTCAGTTTATTTCTCCGAGTTCGAATTGTGGAATAGAATAGTCAAACTTTCTTTTTTTGTGCCAATAAGGAGTGTGCTTTTTGTTAATGAACTCCTCTCGTCATTCGCATTGCCAACCCCTCTTAAGCCTGAAGCATTTTGTTCTGTGCTTGTGAGCAAAAGAAATCCAGTGTATGAAACCGGCAGTAGATGCAAGCTCGATTCAGACACAAGTATTTCGAAACCGGAATGTCGATAAGAGGTTTCTTGCTTGCGTCTTAGGACGTGGGATACTGCTCTTGCATTCTGAGCCGTGGGTGAGCAAACTTGAGCAAGGCTAGGCAAATTCGTCTCAAGGAAGAGGGTATGCTCAGGTGGTTTATTTGGGCTCCTCAGCCACGACTGACATTAGCTAAAATTGAAACAAAAATTGCAAGGCCCAGTTTTAGTTCCCTGTTAACAAGAGGCGTACACAGAAACGACCGACCACAGGCTTCTTCAAAAATTCAAGGTCAATATACAAACATATAGCATTAATCTTTGGGGGTCTTTTTTAGGCTTCTTTTTTAAAATACTACTCTCTACTAGCAATTAACAAATGATTCTGTATTGTGAGAGGTGCCTACGCCTTGAACGCTCGCGTTTCAGTTGCCTTGCTAGTGCGCCCGACATATACTCACCACCAAAATTAGTTTAGAGACCCCGCCCCTCGGCTGTGTATGGCCATATTTTTGATTCTCACAGCCCATCTAATCTTAGAATATGGGTGGAAAATGTCGAACGAAACCAAACAAACCATCAACTGGGCGCCGTACGAGGAAGATGTTATTTCTTTCTACGTCACGCAAAATCACACGAGGCAGGAGACGGTCACTTATCTGCAAGAGAAATACGGGCTAGACGTGAGGTGAGTGCAATAATCCGGCCAAAGGAGCCTCGTCTATTGAGAGATTTCTCATGTATTGGGTAGCGAAAAGCAATTCAAGAAGAAGTTCAGTGGTCACAAGAATGTTAGCTTTGAAGAGTGGCAAGAAATTATCCCTCGGGTTCAGAAGAGGGCACTGGAAGGCAAAGACAGCCAAGTGTTCGTTCGCGGGAGGCCTCTAGAACCAAAACGACTGAAGCTGGGGATCAATCGCTATTCATCTAAAATCGACGCAAGGAGTCCCCTAACTGGTAAGGGATCCATTTTTGTTCTGATAATACTTCGGTTCTCACTAACAAGACGGCCATAATAGTTGAACAGAGCTTCCAGGGCAGGATCAACATCGCTACGCCTCCATCAGCTCCATTGTCACCACCACCCGTCAGCTCGGAGCCTGCAATAGACCAAGAGATCGAGGAAATATTAAGATCAGAGATGCCAATCGGACGATGTCAATCTCCCATTTCTGGGTTGTATCCATTGCAGAATGGAACGAGTCCCAATTTCCAATATGGTATATCTACATCCTGCTCTCTGAATTTGCCTCGTTTGGTTACTTATAATTTATCCAGGTACGTTGAACGGAATTGAGGACTTCCCTGAGAATTTTGATGAATTTCTGGATCTTCAGCCTGATATGCCTCAAATCCATTGGTCCTCACCTGGCGCCGATGAGCCGTCGAATCTCGACCAAGATATAACCTTTGGAGCACCCGAACCGCTATTCATTAATACTGTGGTTTGGCCTATGCACGCTCAGAGTAACCCCTCTCCCTTTGACAAGTTTCCAACCAATCTGTTGCATGCATTGCCTTGTTTCCAACTCAAAGATTTCCTCTCAAGAAACAGTGAGTGATACAAATGCCATGTTGTTGATTCTAGACTGCCATGCTAACATATACTTTGAGGCACTGAAGTCATTAGCCCCCGAATGTCGAATGTACGAGGGTTCATGCCTTGGCTCGGAGCTCCCACAGCTTTCGGATCATCACGTGAATCTATGAGAATAAGCGTATCGTCAATTGAATGTCAGGACGTACTCATGAATCTCTTGAAAAGCGGCTCTGGAAATCAAATTGGTGAGCTCGTACCCGCCTTTACAGTAGAACTGCAGAAATTTCTACCGCAACGGCACATGGGGGAGCTCAGTACCCAGGTCCAGAAGCTGTTCGATCCATCCCACAATCAACCACTACAACCACTGTTGGAAATTGTTGCCTACTTCTCTTCGAACAACTTGCTATCGCGCCCTCAAATGGAAACATTTGTGAGATGGGTGACCAAGCAAAAATATGTCGATCCTCTCAAGCTGTTCCTTCAAATCGACAAGCCCTCGGTCCGTGCATTCAGATCGAGGCTTCTAGAAGCCGCAATCCAGGCTCAAGACCTCAGCTTCCTGAAACAAATGCATGTGGCTGGTGCGAAATTCGACGAGTATGCACAACAACTTATGGCAATTTGTGACTGTGACTTTTTGTTGTTTGTCCTAGCTCATCTGGATCCCGGATTACTGAAGGGGCAATCTTGGGGCCAGTTGCTCTATACACATCTCTCTGGGACACCATATATTTCGGTTGTTCAAAAGCTGGTTCAGGCTGGAGCAGAAGTCAATATTCCTCTATCACGGGAGTTTCCAACATCGTCCCTTTGGGAAGCAATCGACAAGAAAAGCCTGGATATTGTCAAATGCCTCGTTGACGGAGGGGCGGACGTGAATAAGGTTTCTTCCACAAAGCTTTCCCCCCAAGGCCGAATTTCGCCTCTAGGCTTTGCACTATACAAGAACCACCAGCCCATCGTCGAATATCTCTTGGATAAGGGAGCTGACAGCGCCGTTGATGTGTTTTCGGTGCCACTTCTTGAATACGCCCACGAAAAAGTCCCGGAAATTTATTCGATATTACTAAAGCGAGTTCCCAACGTGCCTGATATTATGCCTTCGCAGATCGTTTCCGCAGCGAGCTCTTCTCCGAAAGTCTGGTCAAACTTTCTCTCCCAGCATCCGAAACTGTCAAAGCAAACACTGGAGAAAGCCTTAGTCGAGTCTTTAAAACTGCGAATGACGAAGGCAGTGGTCAATCTATTGGAGCATGGAGTTGATCCAAACGGTTCTCATCTTGGCGAAGGGTCAACAACCCCATCAAGAGTTGTTATGTATATGGATACTGGCCAAACCATGTATCACTACCTGGATCTCTTGATTCACGCGAAGGTAGATGTCAATAAGGACGTGGACCACTACGATCTCACTGAAATTTTTGATGAACGTATTTTCGATAAATTTATCGAAGGTGGGTTCGATCTAGGTAGATACGGCAACGAAGTCCTTGAACTCACTGCCGTCGATTATCCGGAGGCAGTACCATTTTTACTCGATAGAGGGGTATTCATTGATGGTTATGGGACCCGTTTTACGGCTCTCCAGGTAGCCGCAAAGGAAGGTGACATCCAGTTGGTGAGACTTCTGATAGATCGAGGTGCTGACATCAACGCGCCCCCATTTGCTGTGAAAGGCCGTACATCTGTGCAGGCAGCTGCCCTATCCCACAGTATGGAGAAAATACGGTTGCTTTGCGATCATGGTGCAGACATCAACGGGCCTATTGCTCTTATCGACGGAATAACTACCCTTGAAGCGACATTGCGACCTTGGGAACCGACTAATGGTAATACAGATGCTTATCGTTGGGTTTATTATGATAAAATACCGACAGAGATCTTTCTTTTCCTTCTTGATCAAGGAGCATCAGTGAACCAACCGTGCAGATGGTTCACCTAGTCCCTTGCTGCACGATCTTATCGAGCAGTATTGGAAAGTGATCGATTTATTGATGGAAAATCGATATATTGGAGGTTGACAATCTGTAAAATGACTAGATACAGGAGAGTGAAGAGTAAAAAAGGAGAGGAGGAATCTAAAGTACAGTTCTTATATACCCACTAGTGGGTGGCGATTTCCTCCAGTATATTATAAATCAGATGACTCATATATATTAGTGAGCGTTCCCTGAGCTTCCATAGTGAGCTATTCCATAGGCTTCCATAGTAAACCATTATAAATGAGAGTGGCGAAGCTAATATTAGTAGTTGAACCTGGTACTGGAAGGACTAGTAAGCTAGTACCAATTCAACAAGCAGGAAGGGATTGATTTGCTTCGTCGGGCTCTTGAAGGGAAGGCCAAACCCAATCATTACTGGAATACCACATCATCCGCTGGGGGCCAAAGAACGCCTCTTCAACTAGCCGCCGGAAAAGGCCAGCTTCAATCTGTACAACTCCTGTTGGACTCAGGAGCTGGCCCAAACGATCCACCGGCGTACATGCATGGTAGAACTGCTCTACAAGCGGCTGCTTCATGTGAGATGCCAAACATGGAGTTGGTAAAACTCCTTCTCGACCATGGAGCGGTGATAAATGCCGCCCCAGCAGCTAGCGGAGGAATTACAGCCCTACAGGGCGCTGCAATCAGAGGTCATATCAATATTGCACAGATGCTCATCGAAAATGGCGCTGAGGTGAATGCTCTTCCTGCACTCAAAGATGGGAGGACTGCAATTGAGGGCGCGGCAGAGCATGGACGGTTGGACATGGTGCAGATGCTGCTCAACGCTGGTGCTACGGGAGATGTCGTTGGCAACAAAAGATTCACGCTAGCGATCGGATTGGCGAGGAAGAATCACCAATTTCAGATAGTTGAGTTACTAGAATCTCAATAGAAGGGAGTGTGGAGATAGTGTATTTTATTGGAGCATGTCGTTTTCCTGCGCTGTTGTGGGGCATGTAGAAGAGAGTCTTCGGAGATGAAGCACAGAAAATAACACACCTCTCCACGGTCATCAAGGAAGTTCAATATCAACCTCACTTCAAACGAGATCAAAGAGACACCAGTAAGAGAAAAAGGAGATATGAAACAACCAGCTAGTATCTTCAGTGCCATCACCATTGCCCAGAATATATCGACTCCAAGAAACAGTGGCCTGAGAAGACGGCGGGGCAAGAGATATAAAGACCCTCCTTCTCTCCCTCCCTCGAACAGCCCGCCGTCCTATCTCACTCGAGTTTGTTCCTCCACCGCCTGAGCTGAGCAAGAAGGATGACTATTTGCTATCAAGAACCTCACCGCTGCCACTCGACACTTTTTGTCCTTGTTATTCCATTAAGCAATACTCCCCAGGGGGAAAAAATCACAAACAGGTCTCGAGAAGTAGGTACCCCTCACTCTGTGCAAAGAGCTACAGAGCCGACGGCAATGAAGGAAAAGTGAGGGCCAACAAACTTGATATTGTCCACTTTACCAGTGCGAGCATTCGAGAGCGTAAGGATTGAGTCCTGATGTCAGACGCTTGCTTCGAGGTGGTTATTTGTCCGCTTGCATGGTTCCCCTCACGGCAACAATACCCCAACAATCAGAAGGCCAGGACCGGGAAGTTGGAAAGTGCAGCGCATTAAATTCTAAGGATGCCTCGGCCTCCGTCTTTCCTCCACCAATATACAAATCTTTGGTTTTCAAAATAAAAACTGATCACCACCAACGCCATGCATGCATTCAAAATTATCGTAAAATTCACCCCTCCCATCTCTCCCCTCCCCTCCCCCTCACGTGCACTGTCTCAACCATACCGGACACTCTCGCTTCATTCCCCCTCAGTTTTCCTCCTCAACCCACGTCTCCGTCCACCATCAATCTTATCCCCTCCCTTCCTCTTGAAAACCACGAGCACAAGGTATAAAGCAGCAATAACCCCCGCAACGACACCGTACCCAATTATGCCTCCCGTCGAATTCCCCGCAAGCTGCAATCCGAGCCCTCCGTTAATGATCCCACACACGATCAACGCGCGGCCATACCAGATGTGTAAGAAGGAGACCGGGGTGCGGGACGATGTTTTGCGGTATTGCAGGTGGTGCATGAGGCCGAAGATGGGCTGCAGGAGGAAGAGGCAGATGATGACGGTGCCGAAGATGGTGTGTGATGTGTTGTAGAGCTGTGCACTTGTTAATTATTCTGTTTCAAGTATATAGATCAAGTAGAAGCTGGATGGAGGTGGACAATGTAACGTGATACTTGCCCTTCGAATCTCGGCCCGCCTCTCAACTGTAGAAAACGGAAACCCTGGTCCTCCACCAGGAGAGAAAGGAGAGGGACTTGTCCCACCACCACCTCCGCCGAAAGGAACAGTACTTACCAAGTTCCTCATCTGCGCAAGCTTGATACCCAGTCCAAAGCCACACAACATCGCACACAAAGCAAAGATCTGCCAGGCGCCATGCAAGTACACGCTCGCACCCAGTCTCATGAACATAGCACCAAGAGGCAGAAGGAGGACCATGGTAGCACCCATGATCACCCCGTGCGCAGTCTCGTAGTCCGTGATGACTTTGAAGCTCGGTCCTACCACCGTGGCTCCACTGTCTGCTGAACTTCCGCTATCCCCACTACTTCCACCATCCCCACTCTCTCCCGTCGATGTCGGGCTCGAGCCACTTGTTGTTCCGGTCCCTGTCGAAGAAGTCGAGGATACGAAGGGGTTGCTGTCGGTCGAGAGGGCGGCGGAAGTGAGATCGAGGGTAAACTGTCGCATGCTGTTGGGGCCATGTTGGGCGATGGTCGCGGAGGTAGAGGCAGAGTTTAGTGCTGAGCCCTGGTTCCAGGCGCAGATCCAGGGGGAGGATGATGAGGTTTTGGAGGAGTCGAGCTTGCATGTTGTGCCTGTTTCTCCATTAGCATCTGCTTTCCTTCCTTAATTCCTTCCTTCTATCCTCCGTCCCTCTCTCTTTCTTTTCGGTTCTCGTGTTCCTCCGGGGAAGCAGGAAAGGGGGCACAAACAGTAAACATTCGCAATCATCCTCCCATTCACAATCCCACTGCCCGCCAACAACGTAACTCCGCTCTGCAGACTCGCACTCTGCTGCGGCTCCACGTGTCCCTGGCCACCATTCCTCGCACTGATCGTCACGTTCCCAGCCCCATCCGCATACATGACAAAAATGCTCGCGCCGGCCATCTGGCTGCCAATGCCAAGACCAACCCATTGGAAGCTGGTTGGCGCAGAGAGCTGGAAGTAGATGCCTCCCGCAGACGATTGGGAGATGGAAGAGGAGGATGGGACGCCGACGCTGTAGGAAGGTCCCGGGGAGAAGGTTGCGAGGGCTGAGGCGTGGGATGCTGCGGTGCAACTGTGTCAGTCATTGCAAGTCTGACGACTGGAGAGTAATGGGAAAAGGTGAGATGTACCGAGTCCGGCGCAGAGTACGCCCAGTGCGTGCTTGAGGTTCTTCATCGTTGCGTTGACTGCCTGCTTGGCATGTACAGTATGAGGTGATTCCAAATGCTGTCGCGTTCGCAAAAGAAACGGCAGGCACGCGGGTTGATAAAGAAGGGAAAGCCACCGATGCAGATGCAGATGCAGGGAGACGGGCGATGCATGGGCTCGGGGTCAGGCCAGGTCCAAATAAAATCCGCTGAGGACCGAGGATCGCAACTCCGGATGCCGTCCACTTCACTCAGTGAGTGACTCTACCAGCCGCATCTCGGGTCCTTTTTCCTGACAAAGCAGTGAGCATGCTTATGCTCCTCTCGCTCATCGCGCAATAATAATCGTAATCGGAAAAGAGAGTTTAGGATGGTCGGGGGGGGGGGGGGGGGTCTTCCTGCTTCCAAGAATCCAAACGCGTAATTACTGCGCCTCCACATTCTGCGCTGCAGCCACGGGAGGCACCTCTCTCCACCTCTCCACCTCCCTCCGCTCAGCGCGAGCCCTTCGAGGAGCGCCGCCTATCATCTGGGGTCTTGTTCGGGGGTGTTGGGCCCGGGGGCAGGGCTTTGTGTGAAACAACTGCAGGGGCTTCCATGCTTGATTTGGAATGAAGCTGCCCTGAGAGGATGAGGAGCGAAGCTGGGCATCAGATAGATAGGGATGTGATGTTCCCCCAGTATCGTGATCACTGATCTGACGTGGACTGCATGTAAATTTACAAAGACTTGGTACTTGCCAAGATGCCGGCAGTTGCATCTCCTCCCTTTGCTTTCTTGTCTTCAACGCCTTCAGTTCCATCCTGAGCATTTTGCAATGGTGGGGAGGTTGAGGTTGGCCCCGGAGTATAACCTCACGCCAGACCCTCAACTTGACACACCCTAAAAATAAGCTTTATCTGACAACACACCCGCCACTGGGTGCCTTCCCCACAGCAATATCCGCATCCGGCCATTTCCTCGCTCCTCTCAGGTCGAGTCTGTCTATCTTACCGTCAGACTCGCTCTCCTCTTCTCGGGTGCAACACTATCCGTAGTTTACGCGTGCACCCTCTTCTTCACGGTTGCCGAAAGCCTCAACGCCAATGCCAAGTCAGATCTACGCTTCACTGCAGCGAGATGACGAGTCCTCTACGATTTCGTGCAGGAGATCGGTGAAGCTGCACTGATCTTCTAGTCCTGGAGTGGAGAGATATCAAGAGGGTGCCGGTGGGGGAGTCCGGATGCAGACGCAGGTCGATGTGGAGACGAACCAATGGTCAGGGTCCGAGACAACCAGTCAGGTACTCCACCTCCACATTCCTCAGAGGGTCCAAGAATGTATACCCGAGGAATGCGATACTTCAGATAAGAAAGGCAGAGAGTGCCGAGTCCACGGACCTGATTCGGAAGCCCGAGATCCTCTTCCGTGCAGCACGGGCGCCGATGGCTGCAGAGTTCAGTGACGAGAGTGAGGCTGTGCTGGTGCTCCCGATTTGACTGCCGTGTCAGCAGGTTATCATCCTCCTCATTGGCTGCACTCTTTCATTTGATAATTTTGGTGCGAGATCAGTGATTATCGTTTAAGAGGTGAGGCGGAGATGGGGATTGCAGGATTGAGGTTGTGCTCTTTGCTCCACCTCCTGTTATGATGAAGTGACGTCGGGTAGTGTGACGTACGTCTTAACCTTTCTCATAGTTCGGTCGATGTTCGGTCGATGTGGGAAGTTTGGGACCCGTCCATCCGTCAAGCTGCCAGACTTTCCTAGAGGGTTGTCAAGGTTGGGCTTAGAGTGGTTGGCAAAATGCGAGTGACCCAGAAGATTTGAATTCATGGTTACTATGCTACTGCTGTTCTCCGGGGACTTGAAGACAATGTTTGGTGACGAAGTGCAGGGGAGGCTGAGAGTCAGAGGCATTCAGGTCGTTCTCTAAGTCACAGGTTGGATTTTAGCCTCTCCAACATCACCCCTCCTCCCAAGCACTCTCCATACAACTCACACAAGACACAAGAGCAGATGAATTTGCACATCTCATCATTTTGAAGAAGCCGTTAATTGCTAAAATACAGGCCAGTCATAATGCATGATTGGTTTCCCAAACCCCAAGCATACGCCACGAACAGACCAGAGAGGACCGCACCTATGCTATCCCCTCTTATCAATGCTCGCTCGCACACCATACATTCGATCCACCTCCAATGCATTTCCACCCTACTTCGTAACTCAAATCGAAAAGAAAGGAAGGAAAGAACGTCGTCAAAGAAACTTTTGTATCATCCCAATCCGGTCAAGACACCAGAAAGGAAAAGCCAGAAAGCCTCCAACCCTCGCATCAAGGCTAGATGACGGAATCTACACACATAGAATATGTTGAGGAAGCCAAAACAGAAAAATGGGAGAAGAAAAACAGCAGAGCTTTTGTGTATCGCAGCTTTTTTCTAGCCGTTTATAGGCACCGCAGAAAAAGCACAACGAAAGCAAGCAAGCAAGCAGGGTAAGGTCAGGGATGTCTCGATCTCCGAGGAGAGAGAGGCATGCCGTCCTCGCGTATTGTGTGTGACTGTGGATGTGTCCTTCCACCATGATTATACTCGACAATGTTGGTGATCATACTCCGACAGAGAGGTGATCAGAACACGCTCTTGTTCCGCTTATGCCCGTGAAACTCTTGGCCATCGAACTTGCGCTTCCTGTTCGCCTGCGCCACGTTCGCCAGAGGACTGCCGGGACTCGAGCCGATGGTGTTCGCAGGCTTGAGCTTCCTCGGCATCGGTGTAATGGGCTCGTTGGCGTGGCGGATGCGGTTTGGCTTGAGACCTTGGATGGGACCTTGGTTGTAGGGACCTTCGAAGGCGAGGGCCGCGGTCGAGACTTGGTTGCGCTTCTTGACATTCTTATGGGTGTGCTTTTCACGGAATTGTCCGACAACACCACTGTTGAGGTGCAGGAGGGGGTGGACTTGGTCTTCGCTTCGAATGCGGGTGGCTTGAGCAGGTGTGGTTTGTTCGAGGGGCGAGCCAACGGGTTCTTCAGCTTCGTTCTCATCGTCGGTCTCCTCCCCGAAATCGAAGAACGTGTCTAAGTTCAGATTTGCCTCAGGGTCGGACTCATCATCTTCGTATTCAACGGAGGAGTTGTCCTGAATATTGGGGGCATCGAATGGGAAGAAAGCTTCTGATGGGCCCATAGCTTGACCTCCAAAGAGCGAGAAGTCTTGGCTGTATGACATAGCAGTCATCATGAGGTTCCCTGAGTTGCTGATCATGGGAGAAGAATTCAAAGCCATTTGCTCGTAGTTGATCTGCTGTAATTGTGGACGCTTGGTTGTCCCATCTGCGCTGAAGCGACGATTGGGGCCGAACATAATCATCTTCTTGCCAGTGGAATCCAGCATGGCATAACGCTTCCTGCCATCATGGATGAATGGCGAGAGCTTTGGTCTCTTCTTTTGCACCGGACCACGGGCAGGGGCTTCATCTTCAGAGGAAGAGGCATCAGAGATACGTCGGAGAACAGATCTAGTCGGAGCATGGACTGTTGTTGGGATGTCTTCATCAGTAGTTTCACCTTCATCCGCTAATGTCTTTGTTAGCAATACTCTGCCCAAAATGTTCGGCTACCCACTTAGATAACCAGATGAATCTGAACTGTCGCTGTCCGTAGCTTCCCCCTCATCCGCAACATCTTCTTCACTTTCCTCTGATGGCCACCATCCTTCGTTGTCTGAATTCGCCTCCTTGTCCACATCTTCATCAATCATCTGACGGAAATGAGGGGCAAGGCTGTCGAGATCAAAAAATGTGATATCCGGGTATTCTTTGTCATCTCCAGATTCACTGTCATCATCCGAAAGATCGAAGTGGACGCGTCGGTCTGGTGACCCGGCGGTGTTAGAGGAGCCGCTGGAGTAGTTTGGTTCGATGGCTTCGACATGCTCGTTGAAAAAGCTTGGTGATGGTAGATCCATCACACTCTCGTCATCTGATTCCGGCCGAGGAGTTAGACCTTCTTCTTCGAAGGCTCTAATCACGTCCTCCTCGGCCGCCTCAACATCTGGCTCATCCTCCTCAGAGTCAGAGATCTGGTCCACCCCTTCATAGCCATCCTCATCAGAGGAATCGTCGGTAGGTATAGAACTCTTCTGCACCGTCTTCTGGGCAGGAGTCACAGCGGATTTGCGTTGCAAGTTGCGAGACATTATGAACTAGTCTTAGGTTGTAATTGTGGGGTATGTTGGTGGGGTGTAACTGGCGGTGAGCCACAGCACCGTCTGCTCAGGTTCGTGTATGTTTCAAAAAGGAGTTCTACGTCCAATTCGAGCGTGATTGTGTTGATTGGAGTCTATTAAGACTATCGAGATGCGTATGGAGGTTCGGAGTATTCGTGGTGGGCTCGGTGTCGGATATCGAAGGAGGGAGGTAAATTCGCTCGCGGATGGAGTCTCGCTCCCGGGACAAAGAGCACAACTCGATCTGTATTGTGTTTTAATGGGACCGTAATTGCAAGCCAATGCGGCTTTAGACAACTAAAGTCTGGGTCTTCGTCGAGGTCGATGGATGATTGAAAGTCTCGTTGGCTGAAGGACTGCGAGCTGCTCCGATCGAGCAGCCCGCAGTGGGCGTTCACAGCTCAGCGATAGCCTGCGGCATGATTCTCGACGAAGGTAGGGTATTGGGGTGGATGCTGTTTACGTTGTGTAGTGTGACTTCGTTGTCTTTGGGAATGGTGTTGTTGTTGAAGAGAGGGGAGGGAAGCTGACTTCGAGGTGGTCGAAAAAGATATCTGGGAATTTTTCGCTTACAGTACCATACAGACTAGCCCGCAGTCCAATGCCATCGCCCTTCTCACCAGCGGAGTTACCAGGAACCTTTGGTCATCGCGCGACATCAACTGCAGGCAGTTGTTGATTGGGCACAGCTCGTCTTCACCGCTACATCCTTTAGGCAAGGGGCGCGCCTGTTACAGACTCGCACTGGTGTTCGTCACAGAAGTATCTATTTGTAGGCAGATAGCGGGGCAGCAGCAGCAACAGCAGCAGCAGCCGCAAAGCAGAGAGGCATTGTCCAACACAATATCAGCAGCAGAAGACGTTATCACCATACTGTGCCAGTCTGGTGATGATAGACTGATCTTCACCGCGAGCAATGTGTCTGAAGCTGCAGTCCTCTGGCAGCGTCCATTCAGATCTCAAGCACCAGCCAATCCACACCTCACATTTTACCCGCCCAGCGGGCCTTCCTGCTGCTGCAGCGCGGCACGCATCATTTCCACCTTTCCTGCCCCTCGTTTCGAAGAGAGAGAGAGCCCAATTGCACTGGCACGGGATTTAGGATTCGGAATGACGCATCAACGAGTCATTATGGAGTCAGACCGTGGGTTATGAGTCTGCGCTTGGCCATCTTGAGGTATGAGTTTGAACTCTATTGCCCGTGTTGACCTTGTCCTTGCGTTATCTTGCCAGCTGTCGCGTGAGGGGTGCCCATTCACAGTTCTCACCGGTCGGTGTCTTTCTCCATATTTTTGAAATTTTTATTGTGGGCGCGGCAGAAAATGTTGATCTTCACCGCTCAGCGGGGCAAACAAGATCCGCGCCGAAAGAAGCTAGCCGAGTTGACCCCTCCAAGATCACGTGTTTATTTTCTCCACGATTAAGCAGATCAAGCTCAGTAGAGAATCAATCCGTCTTCAGCTCCGTTATAGAACTTACACCCCTTGTTCGTTCTATTAGTCTCCAATATTACTTGAAATTCTGACTCAGCAGTTGCCGTCCGATCACGTGCCTCGCCTCCTTTAGCCTCCTGGTTTACCGCTTGTAAGATTCCCATAGTCTTGAGGCCTTCCGAATCTCCAAAAAACACACTTTCCTCATGATTTTAGAAACATCACGCGGCACAATTATGCTCTCGGCTCCTTCTTAGAGGTGAGGTTGCCAAATCTGAAGACTTAATATGGCAATACCAATTGTCGCAGCAGTTGCAGCTGAGTCGTGTCTCCATTCTACTCCGTCTCTATCTCACCGTTGGTACCAGCCGCTCGAACACTTTTCTATGGAGGCATTCGATTCCACCATGCCAAGCCCTGCGTGAATCGTTCAGCCCTGGCCGCACCCGAACAGTTTTAATACCTCGGCTTTAAATCTACAGCAAGGGATATTAATAACATCTTTTCTGCTAATAAATGGTCTGAATATCTCGGCCCTGAGACCCTCTTATAAAGGATGATATTCTGTTTATTTAAAACTTATAATACCGAACGCAAATCCTTCTAAGAGTTAGAATTGCAAAGCGAAAAGCAGCAGCTATAGAGTTGACATACTCGTAGATCACTCAACTTCTGTTCTTCCTGATCTTTGCCACTACCCCATCCGATCCCAGCTAGTTGAAGTTTCCTGAATTGTCGACTCTTTACGTACTTTGTCGAAGGATTAGCTTCAAAAGTATTTCAAAATAGGTGTTTGATTATGCCTCACCTCTTCGATTGTGTTTTTCATCACATATCGCACAATCTTTACGTGATTCTTTTGCCCAAGTCGAGCAGAACGACCAATCGCCTGGCTTTCGACAGCGGGATTCCACTGTGGCTCAACAATGTGGATTCGACTTGCTGCTGTGATATTCAATCTAAAAACAGAAAGAGAAAGGTATTAGTTGGGGGCAAACGCATGCAAGAAACATTGGCAAATACCCTACAGCTCCCGTACCAAGTGTCATCAATAAGACGGACAGGTCGCTGTTCTCCTGGAATCTGGTAAGAATTCGCCTCCGTTCCGGAAGCGTCAGAGAGCCATCTATCTGGACAAATGGAATTCCATCCGCACTAAGTAAAGCGGCAATGATGTGAAGTGTCTTTTTCCAGGAGGAGAAGATAATGCTACCCAGAGTTTAGCTGATTTCATTTCTTTGGAGATTTTAAACGAGCCTTTTAGCGGAGTGTCTAACTCCACGGACATCTTCCAACAATTTGGATAGTTTTGTTGCCTGTCCGGTGTTGATCAAATTGGGATTGATCATATACGACTGCCCCCGGCCTTTAGTACTAGGCGACAATTCTTCGTCGCCTCCACTGATAAGTTCACGACAGATTGGACAGTACGAACTTTCCCCATTTCTATTCATCTTTAGGTCTTCTTCATACTGAAAGAAGCAACCATTGCACAGAAGATGCGAGCAAGCCGTAAAACGACCAGGATTTGACCCTTCTAGGTTATTGACTGAAGTGACATCGCACGAACAAATTGCGCATATTGCATCATCAGTTTGTTGAAGTTCTGCCAGAGCCTCTTCGGGATCTGGCAGGTCCATTACGCCACTTTTCAGAACCATGTAGTCAAAGGTACCGTGATTGCAGAGCGAGCGCAGTTGCATAATTGCTTGAAGAATACCATTGTACGCTTCCATTGCTTTGTGCCCGCTGACAACATCATCAATGGCTTGTTTTGATGACTCTGCAATAGAGTTGTACATTTCTTTCTCGACAGGTGAGAGATCAAGTTCATAAATAACTTCCTCTGGCTCCGGGAAATGTAGGAGGTCTCTGGTCCGGCGCAGACAGATCGACTTAAGCAAGGTTCGCAAATTGTTAAAGCCTCCCACTTTTCCAGATTCAGTTGGACTCACAATGTGATCCCGAAAATTTGAGGTATTCTCAAGCAAGGGGACTCGAAGAAACCGGATGAGTGCTCCAAGGTCGAAGAGGGTATTCTGAATTGGAGTTCCAGTCAGGCACCAGCGATAGGAAGCAGAGAGAGAAGTGATTGCTCGGAATTGCTTGGTTTGTTGATGACGTATCGAGTGGGCTGGGTTTCAAAGTCGGTTAGTATTTTATTTTCCTTGCTATTCAAAATGAGTATGCAATACCTTCATCTAGGATAATCCTAAACCAAGTAATTCCGTAAAGAGGCCCAGAGCCTTTTCCAAATTCCGATGCCACTGTAGCATATGTAGTTAAAAGGACGTCGAAATCGAGTAGCTCTCTGCTTTCTGATTCTCTCTTCTGCCCATGATATATGAGTATATTCAGCGAGTTTGGTGCCACATGTCTAGATATATTAATATTACCAGGTAATCATAAGATATTTAAGGCGAACCTTTGGATCTCTTTCAACCACTCATCGATAACCACTAGAAAATTTATCGATTATTAATAACTCACAATCAATATTTCGATAAAGCACTTACAAACCGATGGTGCAATGATCAAAGTACTCTTTGCAGACGTTTTGCAATTGGATACCGTTGGTGGAGTTGTAGAAGAATGGGCGAGGCCAAGACTCCCAACAATTGCAGAAAGCATAGTTAACGTCTTTCCTAAGCCCATCTCATCTGCGAGGATTCCGCCGAATGTCTGCGGTGGGACAGTGGACTTTCTAGTACCGACTATTATATGTTCGTAACTGCATTTTGTTAAAAGCCAGATATTTTTGTTAAGTCGAAAGTGACAAAAATTAGTATTTTACTTACAACATCACTTGATCCCTTTGGTGGGCTTTCCAAAGTTCCGGAATAGAGGATACCCTCCAACCTTCTCTTTGTCCAATAAAGTCAACGCCGGTTTTCTGGTGCCTTCACATAGTTAACAACTGTCAAACTCAAAGACGCATCTTGATATTTAGGAGAAATCGTAAAATGAAGGATACCTTAAAAGCGATGTTTTTATCCGGCAGTCAATCTCGCCATCGTCAAGGTTTTCATGTTGATCCAAGCTGTTTAGCAACGCGCTAAGCTGAAAGTTTGGAGCTGTTTGACCTAAATTATTAGGATGTGTTAAAGAATGGCACAACTGCTGCGGCAAATCCGGTTTTTGAGAATGTTTGAATTCGAGATAGTGGGGGTTGTCGTATTTAGCATGGTCGCTACAGCATCGAGGGTGTTGTAAATAAATTTCTGCATCAGAAAGCTTCCTCCCAATCTGGTCACGGATTTGTTTACTTCCGTATATAATTATCTCCACAAGGAAATTGACTTTTTGACCTTTATTTGCCCAAGTGATAATGCTCGTAGAAAAAGTTTCTACCCCAACAAAAACTTGATAGCGCACATAGCCTAGCTCTTCAATCGCCCATAGCACATGTGTAGTCTTTGTGTTTAATACGGCAATATCAATGTCCCTCTCGTGTTGCAAGGCTATATGGTTGTCACGACGAACGAGTTTAAGCGTATAAACGTCTTCATTGGAAGGTGGAAGGGTCAAAAGGCCTGCGCTTTCGATTGTGCGGGAATCGTCGAGAAACTGAGCTTTCGCATCGCAGATCTGGCATTGTTTATTAGCACTTTGCCTTAGCAGTGTATCGGATACGATAATGATTTGTTCATACCATTCCAAAGCACATCTCAGAAACCTGCAGGTCCGATTCTCTTTCCGGTTGTGGAGAAAGGACAGGTGCTTCGACATCTCGTCGAGGATTCGCAGATAGAAGATTTGTATGATTCGGAGGCTGTAGGTTGTTGACCGAAGAATCAAATATTGTCGCGTCGATACCCTGGGAGATATCTGCGTATGCGAACTGGAAACTGGCTTGTGGAAGGATTGAGAAGGCGTTGGTTCCGGACTGTGAACTATGTAAATCCAGTTTTGGCTTCGACCACTCTCCGTTCGGTGAGTGAGCTGGTGAGCCGCACTGCAGTTCCGGGCGTTTGGCGATGGAGCCAGAACAATCCGACTCGGACGATATGAAAGCCCTCTTCAACCAAGGAGAAGCCATTGTCAGATCAGTATTGAAAATTCCGAGCCAGAGTGATTTCAGAAATGCGGAAATAAAGTTTCAATTTCAAGTTCATACTCATGATTGAGCATTTCAAGTCGCCTGCGAATGCGCCTTGTGGCTATGCTGGCTCGAGGTGCAGCAAACTTGCACAGCCTACCTCATCCCAGACCGCCTCTGTAGAGCCCTATTTCTCAACAACCATCGATCATATTTCTCCCTTTATTTAAGAGCTCGCACTGTCGGAGCAGCTGCCGACACATCCCCTCGACACAGCAATTGTGCATTTTGTGCCATGTCGACGAAATCCTCTCCTGACCCTGGTCCGTCGGGCCAGGAAACAGTTTTCCACGAGGCTCTCGAACGATTCAAAGCCTCTCTTAGCGACAATGATAGAGAGGACTTCCAGTTTGTTACGTTGGACGATCTACAAGCTGCCATCGCCGCTATTCAAGAAAAGCAGGCATCTGAGAAGAAAATGAGAAATTTAACACGTCTCAAGAAGTTTCTGGAAGCAATGGATGAATATGGAAAAGTTCTTGAGATTTTTCTTAATAATTCACAATTCATTGCCTTTGTTTGGGTAAGCCTTGACCCTAGAGTTCGCTGTGCATGGGCCTGAGTTTTCTTTCGGTAGCACTAATGTCCATAAAATCCATAGGGTCCTATGAAGTTTCTTCTACTGGTAAGGAGAACTGAAATCTCTCATTCATAAACCCCTGAAGTGTCGCCACTCACTTATTACTGCAGGTCGCAAACACCTACACTCAAGCATTTGATGCTCTTGTGGAAATGTATCAGGCCATCGGTGAGCAACTGCCTCTGCTGGCCCAATATCAGGCTCTCTTCCAAGCGAACCCGTATATGAGAAGAGTGCTTGAATTGATATATTGGGACATTCTTGAGTTCCACACCAAAGCCTTGAAGTATTTCAAGCAAAAAGGTATGTTGCGGATCGTTTCCGTTATGGCGCTGGTACTAAGATATTATCGAGTGTGGAGACAACTTTTTCAGGCAACTTGGAAAACTTTTCGAACACGATTTTCTGGAATTCTCGACAATTTGAGACGTCATAAGCTACTCGTAGAAAGTCAAGCAAGCTTAACACAGTTCGAAGAATTTGAAAGGGCTCGTGTTACAGCAAAAGAAGAGTTCAGGGCCATGAGAGATAACGAAGGAAAGAGACGAAAGATTGCAGTTCGTGATTGGCTAGGTGCCGCAAGCAGTGAAGCTGACCAAGAAAATTATGCAAACGTACGACTTCAGTATCCTGGAACTGGACGGTGGTTGCTTCAAATACAGCACGTGCAAGCTTGGCTCGATCCTAATTCTTCTTCTATTCCTTTGCTCTGGCTAACCGGGATCCCTGGTGCCGGTGAGTACCCTTCACTGCAATTCGTTCCCCTCTTTTACCCGTGTTTTCTCTGATGAAATCCTTTTCAGGTAAAACAATCCTAACCTCACTTCTCGTTGACGAGGCGCGCAAACTATCTTCTATAAAGGTGGTTTTTTTCTACTGCAAACACCATGATTCACAGCGCGATTCTTTTCTTGCAGTTGCCCGGAGTATGTTGTGGCAGCTTCTTCAGCATAGCGAGAAGCCTCAGCTTGACGAGAGTCTCCTAGCATACTTCTACGAAAATGCCTCAACATCCGGAGAGAGCCTATTAAACTCAATCAACAATGCCAAAGATATGCTCGACATCGCTCTACGAAAGTTTGATAAAGTCTACATAATTCTTGACGGCTTAGACGAGTGCCCAATAAAAGAAAAGAAGCTGATTGCCTCTTGGTTTCGCAACGTTGTTGATAGTATCTCTGAGGATGAGCCGAAAGCAATGCGTTGTCTCTTTGTCAGCCAGGATGATAATGATTGCGGCAAGCTTTTCAGCGGTATTCCGATCTCCAAAATCTCTAGCATTGAGAACAGCTCGGATATTTTGGTTTTCTGTCAATCTTGGGCAAAAAATATACGGCAAAAATTTCGCTTGTCAGAAGCTGAAGAGGGTTCTATCGCGATCAAAGTTACTCAAAGAGCAGATGGTAAAAGAATTATATAAAAAGCAGGATGCAAGACTAATATGGAATAGGGATGTTCTTATTTGCGAGACTGGTCATGACAAACCTTTTTGGTCAAACCTCACGAGCGAGACTAGATAGGGAGCTCGAAGCAGAAAGGTTTCCTAAGGGACTAGTAGAGGCGTAAGTTTTTCTTCGCTCCTTTTAAATTCTAGATAAGACCCCTTCGTTGACTCTCTATTCCAGGTATGCTCGTATTCTGGACCGAATCCTTATGGAAGCAGAAGAAGCCGAAACTGATGACGCTGCGAAGCTTCTGGGATGGCTAGTCTGCGCAAGGCGATCTCTAAAATGGCACGAAATACAAGGCGCGATTTCTGTGGACTTGGAAAATCGATCCATCGACTTTAAGGACCGCCAGCTGTGTGTCGATTCGAAGGACCTCTGTGGATCGTTGGTTGATATCAGTTCGAGCGGTGTCATCAGCCTTGTCCATACAACTGCGAGGCAGTGAGTGTCAATTTTCTTCCAAGTTTGTCTTGGCTAATACTAACGGAATAAAGTTACCTCATCAGCCAAAAGGTCGTTCTTCCCAACAAAGAAGACTACAACCTCGCTGTCCTATGCCTCTGCTATCTTAGTAACGACTGCTTCGACATTTCTAGAACCTCAGAAGCTGTCGAAAACCACGTTCTCGAAGGTTGCTATGCATTCTTAGATTACGCCATAGTCCACTGGCTGGATCACCTCGAACGTTGCGTTGTTGAGTTAGACAAACCCAGTACTGGCTCGACCGAATTACTGGGAGCCGAAATTCGTGAGTTTCTTAGAAAGCACTTCTCAGCCGAGGATCCCGGAGACACCATCTCGAAAGTAACGCGAGAGAGATTCCATGTTTTCGAGAAGTATGAATTTTTCAGCTGCTTAGGTAGAGCCGTCGAATACTGGAAGAACTGCATGCAAACGAAGGCTCAGAAGTCGAACAACGCTCGCATTTTGGATTTGGACGTTGTCCTCGGCAGAATCAGATCAACTATAGACGACCTGGGCTCGAGGCAACTGTCCACTTCTTTGCCGCAGAAACTCCGAACCTTTGGTGGAACTAAAATCTTTAAATGCGCTAAATACAACTGTGAATACTTCTATGGAGGCTTCGAAACCATCCAGGAACGCGACCGGCATAATAGTAGGCATGACCGAACCTATTACTGTACTTTTCCTGGCTGTCCTAAGGCCATCTTTGGTTTTGAAGATTCCAAAGCACTTCAGCAACATTCCACAGGTGATCATCTCGCTGGACATATGGACGATTCGAAATACCCAGTGTACCAAGAACCTAAGTCCATAGATGTAGAACTAGCTATCAAGGCGGGAGATATCGCCGCAGTTGAGCGCTGGGCTCAGCAGTTTGATGGCTGTATTCCTGACAATTTTGCTGGCATCCACCGAGCGGACAAAAAACATATAGCCAAAATAGGAGGTCGCAGGCCCTTTTATTATACGCTCCAAAGAGACGACCCTGAGATCGCCAAGTTCTTTCTCGGAAATATTTTGTCGCCAGGTGAATTGGGATTCGCAATTATCTATGCTATTATGAAAGACGGAAATAAGAGTCTCCTCACTTGGGCCGTCGAAATACCTATGGACGAAGTGGATCCACGTCAAGCTTATCCGCCAATTTCGTTAGCAATTACTCGTGGCGACGATCTCACAGCATTACGATTGCTAAAACTTCTCAGCTCCAAAAGCCCTAGGGATCTGATCCCATCAAAAAGAATATCGTATGTCCCTCTGGCAGGTCGATTCAACTGTCTATTAAGCCTTCAATACTTAATTATTGACTGCAAGATGGACGCCGATGCCGTAGACGGCCGCCAAAGAACAGCCTTGATAGCTGCTGCCGAATTGGGCCACACAAGTATAATCAAGCTGCTCGTAGACGGTAGCCAATGCAATATCAGTTTCAAAAATAGCAGAAACGAAACTGCTTTGTCTAAAGCAGCCGCCAACGGACACGACCATGCCATTCGAATTCTGTTTCCCGAGCACCCAGTGCCAGATCATGTCATGCCATGGCTGAAAGTTTCCCAGCTTCGAAATGCCGCCCGCAGTGGGAACACTGAAGAAATTATCCGCCTTTTAGAAGACGACGGAATCTCGGTTAATGTGGCAGACGTGGATCATTATACTCCACTTCTTCATGCGGTGGAGAATGGGCATTACTCTGTTGTCTGTGCGCTTTTGGGTCATCGAGGAAACAGTATCGATGTCAACTATAAATGCAACTGTCACCATCCACAAGTAAATTCTGGAGATAGGCGTAGGATATCAAATGGTGCAACTGCTTTAATCCTAGGAACAATTCATGGACATGTTTCCATTGTTCGTAGGCTTTTGCAGTGTGAGGGCATCAACACAAAAGATGCAGTGTCTCTTACGCAGCTGGGCTGGTTTACTGCCCTCGAGCTTGCAGAGTACAACAAAGAGGCGGAAATTACGGCACTACTCCAAAACCCTGCAACTTCCGTGAGGGTTGAATCCCCACCCGCTCTTGTGACAGGGGAAATTTTAGAAGCAAATCAGAGCTTAGCCGAAGATTTTTACAACGTAAGTACTTAATCCCTGCTTTTTAACACTTAAGGCTAACCAATACTTCTCAGGCGATAAGTCGGGACGATGTTTCCGACGATTTCGATTTGGATACATTCTTACACCAGGACGCTAACTTAGATGACAACTTAGATGCCAACTTCGATCTGGACACATTCTTGCAACAGGACGCCAACTTAGATGCCAACTTCGATCTGGACACATTCTTACAACAGGACGCCAACTTAGATGCCAACTTCGATCTGGACACATTCTTACAACAGGACGCCAACTTAGACGTTGATTTCGGATTTGACCTCTTCCCGCCAACTGGTATCAGTGACAATACATATGGCTTTGGACCTGCTACTCCTGCAGAAGGATTCTAAGCGAAAGAAATTTAATTCTAGTAGTTGCAGTTGCCGAGAGGCACTTCTTATTATATTTTATAGAAACATGGCAGTATTTGTTTATAAGGCTTTTAATTTATATAATAATAAATTTTTTTTTTTTTTGGAAAGAGTTCTATAATTAATTATAGGAGATTATTTCATAACTATAACAAGATTATTTCTTGCTATTTATTTATATTTTAGTAAATAAAAGCTTAATAATATTTGATTTTATACAAATTAATAGAATTAAAAGAATTAAAAAGATATTAAGCTCGAGTCTCGAAATAATCGAAATAATATATAAATATAAGTTAAATAATTCCGGTTCCTAGTTTATATAGAAATAAATACAAAATTTATATACTTTTACTAACTTTTATAAACTCTTTTATTTAGCTTATATAATACTCTCAATCTAGAGTTTAATTTAATTTAATTTAATAATTATTAGTATTCTAGTAAAAAATTAATAAAGACTAGCTTTTTTATAAACTTTTTATAAAATATAATACCTTATATATTTTTAAATATATTAAACTAATAGCTTATAATTATATACTTTTTTAGTTATTTGAAACAATAACTAGATTTTATATATATTATTAAAAGAAATATTTAGATCTTTAGAACTAAATACTAAATTATTCGAGTAATATTTAAAGTTTTTTAAATAGGCTTAATAATAATATTTTCGACTCTTTTCTTTAGTAATATATTAAAAAAATAATTAAAATAATTAATTATTTCTAATTATTATATAAAACTTATATAAAAGTTATATAAGTAATAAATTCTTTTTTTTCTTTAAATAATATATAATTGAAATATAAAAAAAGTAAAGATTAATTAATTTCTAAAAAATAAATAAAATAAATAAAATAAATAAAATAAATAAAATAAAAAAAATAAATAAAATAAATAAAATAAATAAAATAAATAAAATAAATAAAATAAATAAAATAAATAAAATAAATAAAATAAATAAAATAAATAAAATTTTTTTTTTTTTTTTTTTTTTTTTTATTATTATTATTATTTGATTATTATTTTATTATTATTATTATTATTATTATATTTATATTATTATTATTATTATTATTATTATTATTATTATATTATTATTATTATTATTATTATTATTATTATTATTATTATTATTATTATTATTATTATTATTATTATTATTATTTATTATTATTATTATTATTATTATTATTATTTATTATTATTATGTATATATTATATATTATTATTTCAATAAATATTATTATATTAATTATCTTTATAAAATATTTTATTATTCTTAAATACTTCTTAATCAAATAAATCTTTATTAATTTTATAAAATAATAATAAATAAAGTTTGAAAATTTTATTTAATTATCTTTGATTAATCAGGCTTTATAATAATTTAGATTAAAAATTAAAAGATTTCGAAAATCTTTATTTCTCGGGTTTTCTTTTAATTATATTCATCTATACTATCATTATTATATATTTATTTATAATCTAAAAATATTTAGATCAAAAGATAAAATTTATTTTGAATATAATCCTTAAAATATATTTAATATATTCTAATATAAAAAATTAACTTTATTCTCGAAATCATATAAATTTAACTGTCATAATCCTGTGAGTAATCAATAAGATATAATAAATTAAAATTATTAATTTTCAACATCCTGTATTATAATATATTATTATTAATACTTTTAATTATATTATATATAAATAATTGATAAATAAGTCAATAATATATAAAATCATTTCTTCCGATAATATCAAAAGAATATAGAATAATATTTAAATTGTAATATTAAGTTTATAATTAAACTATTATCAAAATCAATATTAGTTATTATCCGATCACATCATGACTCGATCAATATGATTTGAATAATAATAAAATAAACCATAAATAAATAAATAAATGAAAGAAAATAAATAAAAGAATAGAACTAAATAAAATAGCAATGAAATAACATAACTAGTACAATAAAATAATAAACCATCAAGATAAAGTAAATAACAAATAAATAACAAAAATAAGTAAATAAATAAAATAAATAAAATAAAAAAATAAGATAAAATAAATAAAATAATAAAATGAAATAAAATAAACTAAAATAATACAAATAACATAAAATAAATAAAGATAATTATTATTATTATTATTATTATTATTATTATTATTATTATTATTATTATTATTATTATTATTATTATTATTATTATTATTATTATTATTATTATTTTATATATTTATAATCCAGATATATTTAGAAAAAATAATATTACTAAATCTTATATAAATATATATAATAGTATATAAATAAATATTAGATATTATAAATTTAGTTTTCTATTTTAAATAAAGCTTATAATCGGAATTATATAAATTATATAAAATTATATTTCCTAATTAAATAAAGAGCTTTATATATTTAACTAAATATTAGGAAATATATAAAAAAATATTTCTAGCTCTAGAAAGAAGTAATAATTAGTTTTTTACTAGAACTAATTCTTGGAATTAGTTATATTTATAAGTATTATTTTATAACTTACTTATCTTAATTATTTATATATTGTTTTACTATTATATATCTTATATTCTAATTAATCTAATTATTAGAAAGCAGTTTATTATAAGGTAATTAAGCTATTAATAAACGAAATTATTAATAATTAAAGTATTAACTAGAAAAAGTACTTCTATTATTACTAGAATAATCTAATTAGATATTTAGAAAAGTATCTAGTTAAGTACTTTTTATATTATCTAATTAGGAAAAGAAAATAGAACTCAGATATTTCTAGAATTAGCTAATAAAATAATAATAATAGAGAAATTAATAGCGGCTTATTATTATATTATTAAATTAGAAATAGAAATATAATAAATAAAAAATTTAAAAAAGCTAGAAGCTTAAATCTATTATTATAAAAATATTCGAATATCTAATATAAAGCCTATTATATTTCTAGTAATATTCTTAGTTTAAAAGGTTCTAAAAACCCGAAAATTACTAATTTATAAAAGAAAAAATATTAAAAAAGCCTAGAACTTCTTTTACTAAATAGAATTATTTAAATTATAAATATAATAAAAGTTATATATTATATTTCCTATTTTAAAAATATAATTAAAGATATCTAGAAATATAAAAAATAATTAATAGGTATTAATATTATAAATTAGAGAACCTTTATTGAATTTATAAAAGATTTTATTTTAGATCTAAAAAACTATAATAATAATATTTTTATTAAATTTAAGAATATTAAATAATAATTAAACTAAAATATTTAAAGTTTTATATTTTATTTAAATAGCTTATTAAATAATTTAGGATATATAAGTTTATTATAAGAGTAATATTATAATAAGAATTACTAAATTAGGGCTAATATAATTACTTTATTTAGTTAGAATTTATATATTTATTTCCTAAAGCTTTATATTTTACTTAAGCTCTTTTCTAACTAGTTTAATTAATTCTTTTACTATTTAATATAATTCTCTATTCTATAATTTTTATATATATTAGTTATAAGCCCGGCCTTATACTAATAAGCTTCCTAATTAATATATTATAGAAAGTATTTAAAAGCTTATTTAATTTATTTCTTTAAAAATTATATTTTAATTTATATTTCTATTATTAATTATAAGGTATTTATTAGTAAGTAATAATATAATAGAATGAATTAGTAAGTTATAAAACTAATCTCTATTCCTCCTATAAGGTTTAGGAAAGCCTCTTCTAAATAGGAGGCCCTAATAATATATATATAATTAGTAATTTATAAGCCTAATATATATAATATAAATAGTAGTTAGTTATAATATTAAAGGGCTATTAATTTCCCTAATTAATACTTATAATATTCGAGGTTTATTATATGCCTTTAAGTTATATATAATCCTATATATATTATAACTATACTTTCTTTCTAGAATCTTATTCCCAAGATCTATTAATTTATCCTAGTAAAATAATTAATTAATTAATTATTTAATTAAAATAAACTTCTAGTATCTTAGGAAATAGTTTTACTAATATAATCTAGATAATAAATATAAAAATTATCTAATTAGATTAGAACTAAATAAGTAAGAAAAAAGAATAATTATATTCCAGATATAGAGGCTAGCTAGTAATTGCGATTTCGTTTAGGATCTAAGTATTCTAATTAGCTTAATCCAAAGTACTAAGGCACTATCCTATAAAATTAATACTACTTATTAGATCTTATATTAGAATAATCGAAATAGCTATATAAAAAGAATTTAATAAAATATTCGTATAAGAAACCTATATAAATATTTCTAAGATTCTAGAAATCATTTATAGGCTTCTAGAAATATATATTAATTAGTTATACTAATTTCTAATTAGGACTAGTATAAAAACTAGTAGTTAATTCAAGTAATTCTCTATCTTTATAAAAGAACCTCTTTATATTACTATATATTCTTTTCCTATCTAATAATTATATATATAACTTCTTCTATTATTGCTTTTTAGCTTCTTCTTTTACTCTTTTTTAAGTCTTCTTTAATTATTTTTAATTAATTCTATAATATTTTCTTCTAGCTTTATTATTTACTAATATAATTACAAATATAAAAGTAATCTTATAGCTTCCTTTCCTATTACTAGTAAATATTTGAAATATTTCAAGTATTTATTTATTAATTTTTTTATTTTATATATTATAGTACCTAGTAAAAAGAATTATAACTATTATAATAAGAGTTCTAAATTTTATATATTAGTAAGTTTTTTAGCTTTAATATTTATTAAAGCTAATATAATTTCAGATTCCTTATTATTTATTAGAGGCTTACTAGTTCTGGGAAAATACTATTATAACTTTCAAGAAATTTCTTAAAGAATATCCTAAATAATATTATACTAATATAAATAATATTATTAATTAGGTTTTTAAAGACTAGAAGAAAACTAATAAGCTTCGGAATTCTTCTT